CCACATCTTGAAAGAATTTTTATAAAATGTTTCTAACTTCTTTCGTTTCCAGGACGAAATTCAGGCCCTCGGTCTTGCACAAGAGAGCCCACCACATTCTCAGCTTTGGCAACACCATGTCCCTGGTGTGACCTGCTGTGCGACTCCAGCAGTGAGCAGAGTCTGTGGAGAGCGAAAGTAAACATCCCTACGGGCCTGTGGAATTTGACGGCCTGTGCACGTGGGGCAGACAGCGGGCTGTGTGCCAGGCTCTGCAGGCGAGCCCTCCAGCAGGCCACACTCGTTTTCAGCCTCCCTGCAAACAGGAGGAGAGAGGGCCAACCTTGGCCGTGAAGCTCTGTTTCCAGGGTTGGCCTGGCCTGGGTCAGGGCCTGGCCAGGTCTCCGTGTACTTAGTGAGATGCCTTTCCTTAATTGCTCAGGTGCTGGGAAGGCTGGCTAACCTGGTTTGACAGTGAATAAAAGGAACAAGGAAAGGCCAGGGGGAATTTCTTCCCTCCATTCCTCCTCAAGCTCCCTGTTCCCCTGCCCTGTGTGATTTGGGAAATTGTCCAGCACTCGAGAATGGGAGGTTTCATTCACTAAATATTTACGGGGCGCCTGTTCTCTCCCGTGCACTGTCCCAGGCCCTGGAGACAGAGTGCCAATTATGATAGGATCATCCCGGTGCCCTCTCATAGGGGACTCCCCCTCTTCTGCCTCCACTATCTCCCAGACTACATTCTGCACAGCACTCCGTGGTGTGAGGGGTTAACTGGAACCACTGGACAGGAATATTGGACTTGTTATATCCTCCCGTCACAACAGCATGGCGGGTCACACAGTGAGGAAAATGTTGTGGCATAAACAGGCGGCACTGCTCTTCAAAAAAAGGCTCTCTCTTGACGAATAAAAAGACTCTGTGAAATGCATCTCAGGCCCCCTATGTCTCTTCTGCAGCCCAGAAACCTCAACTATAACACAGTTGGACCTAAGGGCTCCATATTCTATGAAAATGCAAAATTAGAGTTGTGCAAAGCAGCTGAATGAGACACAAACATTCATCACCCCCCACTTTGTGAGCGCCAGCTGTAGAGCAGACATTGTGCTGGGCACTGACTACATTCTGTATTTTTTTTTTTCCAAGAGGACTTCAGCTCAGGTCTACCGCTTCTTTCCCATGTTGCTTCCAACTCAGAGAGAAAAGTACTCTATCACTGCTGAGTACGGTAGCAGGTGGCAAGCTCCTGGCTCTGCATTGTACTGTCAACAGACTATTAGACTCAGACGCACGCATTGTTCTGACGTTGCCTAGAGTCCATGGCTCTGTGGACGAGGGGCCTACCCGGTGGGAAAGAAGCTTGCTTTCTACTCCCTCTGCCTCTTCTGTGAATCATGACTCACACCTTTTCTCTCTTTCTGTAGACCCAATATATAAATCACTCTGCCGTTTAGTCCTGGCCTTATGCAAAGTGTTTGTGTCCCCAGAGTCTCCTACACACTGTAGACACTTTGGCAGCTTCGTTAGCAAAGGTCAATGTTTCATTTCAGTTTAATGCCCCAAGGTCCCTGACAGACATCCAAACATTCGTTGGAAGTCAGTAATTGTTTACTCCCCCGTTACCAGGATCTATCAGAGGACTAAGCAGAAAGAAGCAGTGTTTTTAAGAAAGTGAAGCACTCATCTCCTCTTCCTTTATTTAAGAAATATATATATATATATATATATATATATATATATATATATATATATATATACACACACACACACACACACACACACACACACACACACCCCAGAATGAGAGGCAGACTTCAATTATATTTTAATGGTTGGATGTGGAAATCCAGTGAACTGGAGGCTGATTAGTAAAAGGAAGAATTGCATGATGGTAGCATGGTTGCTTTACTTAGTTTTAGGTATCCTATCAACTCAATAAAAGGCTTTTGCATATTTGTGTAACGTCAGGCGGGTTAACTATTCACAGGGATGCTCAGGCTATCCCTCTAGGGGGACTGCAGGCTGCTGTCCCCCCCCCCCCCCCTTGCCTTTCTTCTGACATAAAGCTGCTGAAGGACCTGTCTTGAAAGAGACTCAGAGGAGTTGTTTTAACTCCTGTGCTAATCTTGCGGGGGTCCCCCGTCGCAGGAATAGATGCTTGAGCTCTGGCAGTGCTTGGATGGCTTGTTGATGGGCCTAATAGCCATTTTGGAATCTGGAGGGCAGATGGGCCAGGGCACTGTCCAAGGTCAGCCAGAGCTGCTCACCTCCGTCCGGATTCAGACGCAGTGATGCCAGGCAGGTCCCTTCACTTCTCTGAGCTTCAGCTTCATCACCGTGAAAGGGGGAAAGCAGTGCCCGTCTCTGCGACCTGTGAGGCTCCAGGGCAACCCCTCATGAGGAAGTATGAATAATGCTATTTCGTACCGATGCTTTCAGAGAAGTCGTCTCTCCCCACCCTGGAATTCTGGGAAGATGTTCCTTGTTCTGTGGCACAACCCAGGTTGACTCTAACTCACAACAGACCTTGGTTCCTTATGCTGTCACCACAGCCAACCAATGCTTGGGGGTGTTTTACATTTTTCATTTGGACTTACTCCATGGCATTTTTTTTTTTTTTTTTGAGAGTCCTCACAAATTGGTTCTTAACTTACAAAATCTGGGAATGCCCAAGAGAGGCCGCTCAACTAAAACAAATGAAAATGGAATCTGGGGATGGCCAAGGCAAAGTAAAAATTAATGATGCTTAATATTTTTGTAAAGAAACAACATTTTACTTTGCCAGGTTTTTTGTTTGTTTGTTTGTTTGTTTTTGTTTTTTACCCACAGTGCGCCCTCTATGGGTTAATTATCTATCTTTCATTGTGCAGTCTTAATAAATGATGTGGTTATTTTTAGCCCTTAAGAAACTATAGAAAGAAGTGTGTGCTTAGATTTACACTGCAGGAGTAGAACTGAAATGTCTGTTTAAGAAAGTTATGTGTTGCCGAAACCGGTTTGGCTCAGTGGTAGAGCGTGGGTCTGCGGATTGAAGGGTCCCGGGTTCGATTCCGGTCAAGGGCATGTACCTTGGTTGCGGTCACATCCCCAGTGGGGGGTATGCAAGAGGCAGCTGATCGATGATTTCCTCTCATCGATGTTTCTGACTCTATTCCTTTCTCTTCCTCTCTGTGAAAAATCAATAAGATATATAAAAAAAAAGAAAGTTATGTGTAAAATGGGATTGAATATAGTTTTGAGAGTGAATCATAATTATACCAACCTAGTTATATTTCTTTTTGTTGTTGTTGTTGCATATTCAGCCTATTCTTTGTGACAGTTACAACTTTTACCTGGTTTTGCATAGCTTCTCTTACAAGATACACACAATGTTAGAGACTTCTGTTTTGCTCTACCATTGCATCATAAATATTTTTCCATATTATAATATTATCTTGTGTATAATTTTTAAAGTTGAATACTATTCCATTTATTTAATGCACCATAACTCTCTAAACACTTCCCAGTTGTCGAGCACTTAGTTGTTTCTATTTTATATATTATTCATAATACAACTTTTTTTTTTTTTTTGGTCTGGTCTATAGCATTGAGCCTCTCTTAAATTATTTTCTTAGGATAACTTCTTAGAAATGAGATTATTGGTCAAAGGATATAAATAACTTTCTAATTCTATCTCATCGCACTGTTCCGAGGGCCGTTGCACAGTGCTGCCTGTTTCAGCAGGCTTCAATAGTACTGGAAGCACTGAGCCAGGCTGATCTCATACTGGGCATTTATGAGCAGATGGATTTAGAGTTTTAAGTTGGAAAATAGTTTAACCTTGGGGGTTGTTTTAATGGAAAAACCCATGAAGAGATTAGGACTATACCAAGACAGACGTTTCTAAGCTTCGCCTTTTTTGCTTGTATAATCAATTCTGTCATTTCGTGACACTTGACAACTAATTGTGTCTAATCGGGTGAGTTATTCCTTTGTTTGCAGGTGTAAGTAGAAGGTTGAATGCTATTCCTGTTGAATTGTGAGAGAGAGTGCTAGGTCTAAAGCATACCATAAACACAAAGAGATAGGAAACAGTTCAGCCATTGCGGTTCAGCGGATTGAGCGCTGTCCCACGCACCAAGAGATCACTGACTCCTTTCCCAATTAGAGTACATAATCCGGGTTGTGGGCTCGATCCCCAGCAGAGGGCGTGCAGGAGGCAGCCAATCAATGTTTCTCTCGATGTATCTCTTTCCCTCTCTCTTCCTCTTTTTCTAAAAATATAAATTAAAAAATTTAATTAAAAAAAAAAGAGATAAGAAATACAGAGACTAACATACAACTGATGCTTATTTCTTTCTTCTAACAGTGAAAGGTATGGGAAACCCAGGCTGGAGAGGCAGCCTTCTCCAGAGTCTTCTGGGGACCCAGGCTCCTTCTATTCTGAGGTTCTGCCAGGCCCAGGGCGATGTCCTGGTCTGTGTTTTTGAAATTCCCATGTCTCCACGTCATGTTCCAGTCTGTGGGGAAGGGGGTTGTGGAAGTCCTGGAAAAGCACCTTTGTCTTTGATCTGATGAGCCGGAAGTGGCACATATCACTTTTTCTTACATTCTTTTCCTCAAGACTTAAACAACATTGTCACTCCTACCTTCAGGGAAGGCTAGGGAAAATGGCATCAAACTGGGTGTATGTGGTTTGGCTAAAATTCGAGAGGATCTACAATGAAAGAGAAGGTGGATGGGCTTCAAGGACAACTAATGCTCTTTGCCCCAGTCCAGTATTCCTAGTTACAAATAATCGTATGTGACAGGAAAGTATTAATCATGTTTGCCCACTGGGAAAAAAAATCAACCATTGGAGATGTCAGAAATTATAAATATGTCCTGATTTTGTTTTTAGATGGCCCACAGTAACCCATGTGCCAGGTAGCACTCTATGCCAATCCTGAATGCCAATAGGAAGTCATAGGACAATAAACTCTTCCAAGATCATAACTGGGCTGTTGGAATAACTTGGAAAAGAAGAAAAAAGAATCAAAACCATGACAAAAGTAACTAGAGCCCGGCCCACCTCCCCCCCGGATGGAGGCTGGGGCTGGATGATTGTGGCTGGCTGTTTCCTCGTCACCATCTGTACCCGGGCAGTCACCAGGTAAGTGGCATTTTCTTCTTGTCTTTTTAAGATGATCTGGCTTTTGTTGTTGTTGTTCTAAATCTGCTTCATTCTATTTCTGAACCTACCATTGTGAAAATGTGTGAGTGTGAGTGTGTGTGTGTGTGTGTGTGTGTATTTTCATTGCTCAGACATCTTTTTCTTTGTGAGGAATATGATTTTCTGACACATAAAAAAATTCTGCATTGTGGCCGAGACCGGTTTGGCTCAATGGATAGAGCGTCGGCTTGGGGACTGAAGGGTCCCGGGTTCGATTCCAGTCAAGGGCATGTACCTTGATTGCGGGCATATCCCCAGTAGGGGGTGTGCAAGAGGCAGCTGATCGATGACTATCTCTCATCGATGTTTCTAACTCTCTATCTCTCTCCCTTCCTCTCTGTAAAAAATCAATAAAATACATATATTTTTTAAAAAATTTCTGCATTGTGGTCTCTTCTATAATATCTGACCTATAATATCTGAGTCATAAACCTGAAGTGTTAGGACATTTTTAGACCAAATATTGTGGCTATTCCAGCCATCTGTCTTCATACACAGCTCATCCCAGAAAGGAAAAACATAAGGATAAAATAGTCCTTTGAAAACCTCTTGACTAACTAGATACTGAGTCCTTAGAAGCTTAAACCTTCATTTGAATTCTTTCGCTTCATATTGCATTTGGCTGTGGTGCTTGGTGGTGGAGGCTGAGGTCTAGGTTGAAGACAAGAGCAGCAGCGTAAATCCATGGATTCTCTCATTCTCATTTACTCATGCCTCCTTCTTTCTCTTTATTTTTCACATGTTTATATTCTAAGAAAGTTTTTTTTGTTGGTTTTTAAATTTTATTTATAATTATAGCTTACATTCAATATTATGTTGTATTAGTTTGACAGCATAAAAAATAGGGACTGCTTCACGAATTTGCGTGTCATCCTTGCACAGGGGCCATGTTAATCTCCTCTGTATCGTTTCAATCTTAGTATTTGTGCCACTAAAGTGAGCACCTCTCTCCTTTTCTTTTATCCCAGCACATAGTGTTGAAAGGGCTTAAGTTAAATGTCTACACATTGAGACTCATTGGAACAAATACATACTTGAAATCTGCAGATGCCAGCTCTTTACAGGTGCTCCCATTCAAACCACACTCTGTTCTCCTCTGGCAGCTCACACTTGGCAGCAAAAGAAAGCAGTTTGCACCAATAACTTTATTTGATGTCATCCTATATAATAAAAGTATAATATGCAAATCGACCGAATGGTGGAATGACCAATTGCCATGACGTGATCTGACTACAAGGGGAGAGACTCTCAACACAGGAGCTGCCCCCTGGTGGTCAGTGCACTCCCACAGGGGGAGTGCCACTCAGCCAGCAGCCAGGCTGGTGGTGGTAGCCTCTCCCGCCTCTGCTGCAGGCAGGTAGTAAGGAGTGAAGGGTCCTAGACTGCAAGAAGGATGACTGACTGTAAGAGGGATGTCTAAGCCAGCAGGCAGACATCCCCCAAGGGGTCCCAGACTGCGAAAGGGAGCAGGCTGGGCTGAGGGACCTGCCAACCAGTACACAAATCTCGTGCCCTGGGCTTCCAGTCATTAATACAAGCATTGATGTTACCTTCATAACAAACACATAATGCAGGAAAGAAGAAGGATGTTGGTTTTTGACACAATAAAGGCTGATTATGTGTCTTAATGCACTGTAGATTTTCTTAAAATTATACAGTTGGTATTGAGTTTGATATTGCTTCCACCTGAATTATGGATCTTGTGTTTTGGGGGTGAGGAAGTCATAGATTTAAAAGGTATCTCTTTCATTTTGGCTCTTTCGTGTGGAAGCTTCCATCATTCTATGATGGGAAAGTTCTGGAAGTGAGCTCAGTGCTTCATAAGAAGGCTGCTGAGCCGAAACCGGTTTGGCTCAGTGGTAGAGCGTCGGTCTGCCGACTGAAAGGTCCCTGGTTCGATTCTGATCAAGGGCATGTACCTTGGTTGCGGGCATATCCCCAGTAGGGGGTGTGCAGGAGGCAGCTGATCGATGACTCTCTCTCATCGATGTTTCTAACTCTCTCTATCCCTCTCCCTTCCTCTCTGTAAAAAATCAATGAAATATATTATATTAAAAAAAAAAAAAAAAGAAGAAGAAGGCTGCTGAAAACCAGGAGAGAGGATTATGGCTGGCAGCCAAGGCCTGCTATCCGAGGTTCCTGAGAAAAGCTGAGGAGAGGATACCTGAGCAGAATAAGCTCAGAGGAAGAAAAGTGTGAAGACACAGCCAAATCAGAATCTAAATGTCATGAACCAGGAAGCAGCCAAGAGCACTGGACAAGGAAAGTAGCCTGCGGGGTGATTTGTCAGTTCAGAGAATCAGTGCCTGCCAGGCTATTAAATTTTTCTTTTCCTCCCAGTTTTACTGAGAAATAATTGACGTATGTTACTGTATAAGTTTAAGGCATACAGCATGATGGTTTTATTTCCATATATTGTGAAATGATGACAACAGTTTCAGCTAGTACCCACTTCTCATAGAAATACAATTTAAAAAAGGAAAAAGAGGAAAATTAGATTTTCTCCTTGTGATGAGAATTCTTAGGATTTACTTTTTAACCACTTTTCTATATCATACAGAAGTGTTAGCTATAGTCATCATGTGTACATTGCATCCCTAGTACTTAATTACTGTATAAGTGGAAGTTGTACCTTTTAACCACCATCCTCCACCTACCCCTTCTCCCACTTTCCACCTCTGGTAACTACAAGGCTAATCTCTTTTCCTATTAGCTTGTTGTTTTTTATTATTTAAAGTATTACATATAATAGTACATATATCTCCTTTTTCCCCCCCATTGACCTTCCCCCAGCCTCCGCTACCCCCTGTTAGATGCCCTCATCTCACCCCCCCCAATGTCTTTTGTCCATTGGTTGTGCTTATATGCATGCATACAAGTCCTTTGGTTAATCTCCCTCCCCATCCCAACACTCCCCAGCCTTCCTGCTGTAATTTGACAGTCTGTTAAATGCTTTACTGCATCTGTATCTATATTAACTTGTTTTTGTTTATTTGTTTTTAAGATTCCACTTATAAGTGAGATCATACAATATATGTCTTTCTCTTTCTGACTTGATTCACCTAGTATATGCCTTTAAGGTCCATCCATGTTGTCAGAAATGACAGGATTTCTTAATTCTTTTATCATATATATTTCTGTTGATGGACACTTAGGTTGGTTGCATGTCTTGGCTATTGAAAAAAATGCTGCTATGAATATGGGATTGCAGATAACTCTTCAAGCCAGTGTTTTCATTTCCTTTGGATATATTCCCAGCAGAGGAATAGCTGGATCACCTGGTAGTTCTGTTTTTAATATTGTGAGGATCCTCCATACTATTTTCCATAGCGGCTGTATCAGTTTATAATTCCACCAACAGTGCACAAGCGTTCCCTTTTCTCCAGTAATTTTTTTTTATCTCTTGTATTTTGATGATGGCCATTTTAACTGTGTGAGTGATATCTCATTGTGGTTTAAATTTGCATTTCCCTAATGACCAGTGATGTTGAACATGTTTTCATGTATCTGTTCACCTTTTGCATATCTTCTTTGGTGATATATCTACTTAGGTCCTTTGCCCATTTTGAAATGGGGTTATTTGTTTTTTTACTATTGAGTTTTTAATCCTTAATAGTATTTTATTATTATTATCAGTAGCCCTGTGCATGAATCCGTGTGCTAGTAGCTCGTCAGTATCTTGCTGCCTCCCTCTAGTAGCTCTCCACCGGCTGCCCTGTCTTCCTATAGCTCTCCCTGCTACTCCCCTACCCCCTCTTATAGCTTGTTGCCCTGCCCCCGCCACACACCCCCCATAGCTCTCTGCTGCCCACTTGTAACTCACTGCCCCACTCTCTTGTTTATCCATGATCCAGTCATTATGCGATTGGTCGTTACACTTCATGGCAGAATGACCATTTGCATATTACATCTTTATTATATAAGATCATTATTATTATTTTTAGAGAGAGTGAAAAGGAGGGGGAGAGCAGGAGAGGGAGAAACATTGACGAAAGAGAGACACTTGGGTTGGTTGCTTCCTGCATGCACCCCTGAGTAGCCTACAACTGAGGTACATGCCCTTGATTGGAATTGAACCGGAAACCATTCAATCTGCAGCTGACACTCTAACTACTGAGACAAACAAGCTAGGGCAATATTTCATTTTTTGGTATTTCAAAATTTATTTAGCCAGTCCCTTATTGAAGGACAAAGAGGTTGGTTATAATATTTAACTATTATAAAGAGTTCTCCAGAATGTTTTTATTTGTATTTAATATCATGATCTGTTTATTACCTTTGGTTAAAATCTAGACATGAGCCCTGGCTGAGTGATTCAGTTGGCTGGAGCATTGTCCTTTAACAGAAAGATTACTAGTTTGAGTCTCAATCAGGGCATATACCCAGATTGTGAGTTTGATCCCCAGTATTGAGGACAACCGATTGATGTTTCTTTCTCTCTCTCTCTAAAATCAATAAAAACGTATTTACGAGTGAGGCTAAAAATATCCCCCAAAACCTAGAAATGAAATTGCTGGGTAATGTATAACTCTTTATTGTTAAACTAAAGGCCCGATGCATGAAATTTGTGCAAGGACCTTGGCCCTCGTCGCCACTGTGGCCACCTCTGCTTCAGCCCCTGCCTGCTGTGGCTTTGTCTGGTCTAATTAGCATATTACACTTTTTTTATTATAGATTTTAACTTATATAATAACCTGTTACATATGTAAGATAAATATTAAGATGAATAAAAGTACATGTTTTTGACCTGCCACCTTTTTCTTAAGATCTTCTCTATTGCAGTGATCTTCATATCTACTTGGCTTCCGCAGCCCCTCCAGTGAGTGAACACTTGTTTTTATCCTTTAGAATGGCCCAATGGTCAGCTTCTGATTTCCTACTTATTATGGTCTAGCACAGTACCACTGAAAACCAAATTAAACCTGTGGAACAGTTGATGGAACCAACACTTTAAGTTCTGATTCAAATTCATGTCGTCGTCTTCTTCTTCTTCTTCTTCTTCTTCTTCTTCTTCTTCTTCTTCTTCTTCTTCTTCTGTATAACATGCTTGCACTGTATTTTTCAGGTGTATTTCAATTTTTTTTGTGGAGTTCCAAACATACTTCACTCAGGATTATGCACAAACAGCGTGGATCCATTCCATTGTAGACTGTATGACCATGCTCTGTGGTAAGTATCACTTACCAGGGATAGATAGCTACTAGCTACTGTCAAATTGTACATGGCAATGACCTTCTATTGCCTTTGATTACCAATTTTTCTTAGTAGAAAGACTATGGTAAAAAAAAAAATGGCTAAGATGAAAAGAAAAAGTTGATCCTACCTTCAGCCAAACCCAATCAGACATGCTATTGGAATTAGTGGTCTTGGCTGATGGCAGATGGAACAGGTAGTTAATAACTTAGGAGGACACATACCATTTGGTTCTTCTATATGAAGAAGACTTGTGCATCATAGGACTTATCCTGATTCTGGAAGTAGCTAACCATGCAGTGCATGTGTGATCTCTTCACTCTCCAGTCATGTAAATCCTTGGATAGTGCCTGAGCTGTTTCTATAGAATCCCCTTAAGTGAGTACAAACAATATGTGCATTGTTTCTCAAGTCTTGTTTTCATTCCATTTTCTTCTCAGAGATTTCAAACTTTGTCTCTTAGATTTCATCACTTTTCATGCATAAATCTTCATTCTTAAGAGGAAGGAATAGGGAAGGATAGGGTGGCTCTAATCTTGAGATAAATACATTCATCACAGCTGTCATTTCATTCAATATATAGGGTAAATAGAGTGCTCTCAAAATAAATGGAAAGCTAACTTTGAGGTGGTTTTTAATTTTTATTTATTTTTTAATATATTTTTTATTAAATTATCATCTGTGTACATATTTTAACATTGTCCCCCCCCCCCATACAAAACTCTGGGGAGGGAGGGTATGTTTTTATTTATTTTTTAATTCAAACCAAAGTTGTTCAATTAGTGGCTTAGAGAGTTTCTGAGATTGAGTCAAATTGATATGACCTATTTTCAGGCTAGACTAATTTAATCCTTTTATTGAGGTGAATCCTGAGTATTTTAGAAAACTGCTCTTTCCAGGCCATGTCTTTGTGGTAAAGGGAAATATTATATTATTTAGTAACTTATAAATGTCATCTGATTCCATTCTAGGTACTAGTTCATATTTATTTTTCTAATGTACATACTCAGGAGTCAGTTGAATTATTCTGACATGCATTTCCTTGGTTGGGAGGAATTTGAGAGCAAACCTGAAAGGCAGGTTTCAGGAGAAGGCTAAATTGACTCTTTCTACCGATAACACTGGAAGGTCTTAAGGGATAAAAAGAAATAATATTTCTGGGTTTTCTATCTTGTGTGTATATTTTATTTATTTCTTTATTTACCGGTGAGACAATCACTAGGTCTTCAGGGTCACATTAGTCACAGCGTTTGTATAAGCAAGTCAAGAGAGCAATGTTTGTCTCTCTCAAAGGATACAGGTGACTCATTTCCCTCAGTGTTATCTTTTGGAGACTATTCATAATCCCCAAAAGAGAAATAAATTAACTTCAGTGACCAATATTTTCACAATGACCATGTGAGACATTGAGCCAAAGTAGGGTCATGTTAGCATGACCTTAAATATGCAGTATATTGAAATTCCACACAAGGACTCAATGCCTGTTGTACCCAATTGCTTACTTGGCAACATTGGTTGAATACAGAATATGAACAAGAGGCTACAAAATCGCATCTAAGACACTCATTGGGGACATAACTGCCCTATAATAAGCAGAGAAGTTAACATTTTTTCATTGAATTTGGTTAAAATGTCACTTTTCCAATAACCATAGCAGCAGCTGTCTGGAAAATTAGACATACTTTTAGGAGATTTGCTCATTCCTGTTCTCCAGATGTTCTATGTACATCCAGCCACTGTTTTAACTGGATAGATGACATCAATTGGGCTGATGACTGATTCTATCATGTGCATTTGAGTCAGGCTTCAATTCCAACCTGATTAATACAAAAATTATACCCCACTGATACTCTTTTGATGTTGTTACTAGAAGTACTGGTGTCAGCATGAATTGTTCCTTAGAAAGAAATTCACATGCATTCCTTACCCATAATCCTCCCTGCCATCAGGAGCCAGAGGACAAGTGATATAACCCTAAACTTGGTATCAGGAGCTCTCAGCTATACTTCTTGGTGATCATGTCATATTCCCTTGGGCTGCAATTTCTCATCGGCCTCTCCCACCTTTAATTAACATTTTATAAACCTAAACCACAAATAGGGTGAGGTCAACCAAAATGTCACCATGGGTGTAAGCATTTTCTTAGATTTTTCTGAGTGTCAGTTTCTCATCCATACGATTTTCTAAAGCCTGAATACAGTGCCAGATTGTGACATTTATCTATCATCTCTCTCCCTAGCCTTTTCCTGGGTGACTGTGGGCAAATCAGGTTCTCTCTCCTCAGTTCCAAATCTGTAGAATGAGTATGCAAGGTTGAGGGGGGTGTGGGAGGAAGGCTTGATGCTTTAAAGGTCAGTTGTTCTCTACTCTGCTAATGTAACACCCCAGCCTTTTCACTGTGCCCTCAAGGCCTTTCTGCTGACCGTATTTATTTTTGTTTTTGAAGCTCCACTTGGGAGTGTTGTCAGTAACCATTTATCCTGTCAAGTGGGAATCATGCTGGGAGGCTTGCTTGCATCTACTGGTCTCATCCTGAGCTCCTTTGCCACCAGTCTGAAGCATCTCTACCTCACTTTGGGAGTTCTTACAGGTAAGGACAACTGTACCTCTTGTCTCACCCCACCCCATTCAGGGCTTGTCAACCACATCCCCAGAGCAATGATTGGTAAATTATTCACTTTGTTAGATGCATAATTTAGCTGACCTAGCCTATGTCTTTTCTACCTGGAAGTTAAACAAAAGAGCTGGAGGTGCAATTTATTGTACGACTGTAATGAAAATGTACCACCACTTTAATTTAGACACATGATAAAAGTAGCTGCAGGCTTTCCCTTTGGCAGAGGTGTATGGTTGGGATTCTGTTCTAAGAAGCCATGAGCTATTAGCCAGGGCAACATACATTTCCAGCAGTGATCATTCTCCCAACATCTTAGACAAGGCATTGAAACACTATCTGCAGTTGATTCGAGACACCCCTGCTTTAAAGTGAATATGATTATCCAATAAGTGGGAGTTTCCAATTTAAAAAATTAAATTAAAAATTCTCATACTTCACTATTTTCTCTCCACATTATGGAAGTACACTTTAGGGAATCAAAATGAAACTCATAGAGAAGCAACATATGTATTCCATAAGGAGACTGAGTAGGGTCAAGGTGGGGTTGGTAGGACTGGGTAGCAGTTTGCCTCAAAACTCAAAGGAGTGTGGGAAGTAGCACTGACTCACGTCCAGGCATTGCAAAACGGGGGGGTAGCATGATCAGGGAAATGAAGGATGTAACTCCTAGAGAGGCTATAAATCTAGCTCTGCGAGCTCAAAAAGGAATCTGTCCTATGTAACTCAAAGGGCTATTAGGGTGTCCAGTCATTCCAGTTTCCCAGGCACTGTCCTGGTCGTAGCACTGAGTCTCACATCTGAGACACTCCTCAGGGCCAGTTGGGATCACTGGTCACCCTGCACTGCAGATAGGAACAGGTGCAGAAGGGACTTCTCCTTTTCCTTCTTTGACATTAGATGCCAAGAATTCCAGGTTTAAAACCTTTCAGATTTTCTCCATGTGAAAGGAATAGACGCTGAAAATCTTTAAAAGGCTTTCTGCTGATTTCAAGGGACATTTTCAGGTTTTTCTTCCCAAAAAGAAAGTCACATATATACTATACTTTCCAAATTGTGGATGACTGGTGAAGGGAGAGAGACTCCTTTTTAGCTTAGTTTTAAAGGGGTAACAGAAGGTCAGAATCTCTTTAGTGCAAACAACTTCATTCTGAGATATTTTCTTTCATGGGCTATTCTTGGTGCACTCACAGAGTTCTCTCTATCCCCAGGTCTTGGGTTTGCACTCAGTTACTCTCCAGCTATTGCCATGATTGGCAAGTATTTCAACAGACGGAAAGCCCTTGCTTATGGGATCGCCATGTCGGGAAGCGGTATTGGAACCTTCATCCTGGCTCCTGTGGTTCAGATCCTTATTGAACAGTTTTCCTGGCGGGGGGCACTGCTCATCCTTGGGGGCTTCGTTTTGAATCTTTGTGTTTGCGGTGCCTTGATGCGGCCAATTACTCTTAAAGAGTACCAGGCAAGTCAAGAGCCGAACCATGTCTGCAGAACTCGAAAACAAGACTTTAAGCGGGCGTCGCCTTGTTCAACTTGGACAAAAAAATGGGTGCAGGCCTGCCTGTGTTGCTCTTTGCAGCAGGAGTACAGTTTCTTACTGATGCCAGACTTCGTCGTATTAGCCGTCTCCATTCTGTTCATGGCTTACGGCTGCAGCCCTCTCTTTGTGTACTTGGTGCCTTATGCTTTGAGTGTTGGAGTGAGTCACCAGCAAGCTGCTTTCCTTATGTCCATACTTGGGGTGATTGACATCGTTGGCAATGTCACATTTGGATGGCTAACCGACAGAAGGTAAAATTCACGAAAGCACAATTGGTTCCCCATCAGGGGACTCCAAGTTGTGATTTTTCCCTCATCGTCTTTCCCTGTAGGATACCTAATGTTAACAAATTTTTGATGTCTGAAGGCAATATCTGAAGGGTCTCCTAGTCCAAGGTTGGCAAACTTTTTCTGTGAAGGGACAGATAATAGACATGTTTGGCTTTGTGGGTCCGAATGATCACAACTACCCAGCTCTGCTGTTGTAGCCCCAAAGCACCCATAGACAATACATGAACAAACGGTAGTGGCTATGCTGCAGTAAGTCTTCATTTATGGACACTGCATTTTGAATTTTTTATATAACTTTAATATGTCACAAATTATTGTTCTTCAGATTTCTTTCCCTCCAACTATTGAAAAGTGGGAAAACCATTCTTTGTTCATGGATAGTGCAAAAGCAGGTGGTGAGCTGGATGTGGCCATAGTTTGCCACCACTGTTCTAGATGGTTTAGGATGGTGGGTATTTCGAAATTGCTGAACAGTAGGGCAACTATAAGTTCTGGTGATAGATTTAATTCCATCCTAAGTCAAGCCAGTCCACAGGTAAGACAACGTATGTATGGCTGGGTGTCATGATTTTAGTTTCCTTTGGACCACTCCAGAGACTCGTGGACAGTGAAGAGAGGAGCAAAAGCATTCAGGCTAGGAAGTGTGTGCACCTTATCTGCGGCCACACACTTCTGTTTGGCAGTGCAGATAGCAAATGCTTATGTTATGATTGTAGGCTGAGGAACCAAAGTTATAAGAAATCTACGGAGTAGTTTTTTCAGCTAATGCTTATCAGTTTGGATTGAAGCCAGCAAGCTGCTTATATTCTCCTCCATGATGGACTCTTCACACAGGAGCTATGACCTCGGAGAGCTATCATCCTGTGGCTTCTTACACGTTATGTCTTTGGTAATGAATCAGGATCCAGCTGGCATTCTGCAGTTTTATTAATGTAATACTTAGGATTGATTCCACATGTTTAATGGTGAAGGTAGAGGGCAAGAGCAAGGAGTACCTGTCTTTCTAATCAACCCAACAAGAAGCAGCCTGACATAGGTCTGACAGAGGGGTCTCTTGTCTGCGACGCACCACATCTCAATTCTTGTGCTGGCTCTGCCCCTTTTGTCACTGGGGCCTAGGGAGAAGCACCTAGCCCTCAGGTCCACAATGTCTTCATCTGTAAAACGGGCCAGTGCAATATTTGCCTGTAAACCTCACAGCATTTTGGAGGCTCAAATGAGACTATGGGTGGAAAAACATTTGTAAAGCATAAACTGCTGGTGTGATATTATGAATAGTGTTTGAAATAATTGGTATCATGGATGGGTTTGGATCTACAGAGAGAAAATATTACCTCCACTGAGGCAGTCTTGAAATAAGACTTAGACCTGGCAAATCATTTTAGTCTTCTGTATCAATAGCCTCTGGCAAGTGATAGTCTCTGGCAAATCATTTTAATGTCTTCATATTATGGTTTTCTCTTTCGTGTAACCACTTGGATTATTTTTTTTGAGCATATACAACGAATGGCCAGATTATTATGATCTCTGAATGCATAATAATCTGGCCACTCAGTGTATATCCTATATAATAAACTGCTAATATGCAAATTGCCCTTCTACCAGGAGTTCAACCAGCAGGCAGGCCAGCCAACCACCCATGTCCCCTGTCCCTGGCCAGGCTGGCCATACCCCACCTATGCACGAATTCATGCACTGGGCCTCGAATACACACACACACACACACACACACACACACACACACACACACTGAGTGGCCAGATTATTATGTGTTCAAAGATCATAATCTGACTACTCAGTGTATGTGTGGCGGATAGCCATGAATGACATATCTGAAAGCATCTAATATGGTAGTCTGCTAGAATATATTAGTATCTTGAAGTGCTACAAGTTATTTTATGGCTATCCATGGAGCTATCCTATGAGAGAACTTTCCCTTTTTATAGCTAAAGTAATTGAGGTTAGAGTTTTGCAGTTAGTAGGTGACAGGACGGGATTCAAACTTCTTTCTAATTAGAGCATATATTATATTCTACCATACCATGCTCCCTAGAGAGGTAAATTCTTACATTTTCATATGCCGGAAGAAAAAAAGGAATATGCCCAAAACTGATAAAATAATATTGAATATCAACTGTAATTGAAAAATAAGATTTTTAAAAAGAGGAAGTTAAGAAGACAACATAGATAACACACAATGGGGAAACCATCTCTGTAAGTAACTGCCATGCTTACTGCTGTCTGGCCTGGCTCTGAAGCTCTCTGATAGAACCTGTGCTTGTGCACTCATTCTTATTCTTCACATCCACAGGTGTCTGAAGAACTACCGGTATGTTTGCTACCTCTTTGCCGTGGGACTAGATGGGCTCTGCTATCTCTGCCTACCAATGCTTCAAAGTCTCCCATTGCTCGTGCCTTTTTCTTGTACTTTTGGCTACTTCGATGGTGCCTATGTGACCTTGATCCCAGTAGTGACTGCAGAACTGGTGGGGACCGCCTCTTTGTCATCAGCACTCGGTGTGGTGTACTTTCTTCATGCAGTGCCATACTTGGTGAGCCCACCCATTTCAGGTAAGTTTCTAGAGAGAACCCTGAACACCTCTTCTCTTTGTTGTGTTGATGGGAACTCACACATAGAAAATGAGGGTTGGAAGTAAGTTGGGGAAGAGTGAAAGAGAAGGGGATGTAAGAACCACCAAAACACCATGATCTCACCTATATCCTTGTTTTATAATCTTCTAACCAAGTGGGGACCTTAGCCTCCTTGGAAAGACAACGTCCCAATTTAGGGTCTTGGTTCCATTCCATGTTAATAGTGAGAGCAATAGAATGGAGCAGCTGGTCAGATTTATACATTAGGCTGGGCACATTCAGAGGGCAGTCTGGTGGCAGTACAGGGTTCTAACAGGAGATGGGTGGTGAGGCTGAAATGATAAGTCATAGTGAAGTGTCTTGAGTGCTAGCTGAAGGAGCCCTATATTCTTTAGAGACTATGCATAGTATTACAGTTTTTGTGCAAAGAGGTATAATAGTAAAGAGTGTATTTTAGAAAATGTGATCTGGCAATAGAGCTGGTCATTCAGGGGAGAAGCAGTTGGGATTCCATTCTAGTAGTTCAGGAGCAAAATGGTAAAGGCCTAAACTATGGCTGATACAGCAGAATAAAAATAAGCTCTGGGAGCAAGGAGGTTTTGTAAAACAAACAAACAAACAAACAAACAACAACAACAAAAAACAAGAAGAAAAAAAATCCCAAATCAACTAAATTAAGCATATGAGGGTGAAGGAGAGAAAGACATCCAAAATCACTTAGAAAACAATGGCATGATTAAAAGTAATAAGGAAGTTGGAGAAAGTGGCTTTGCCAGAAAACAATAATGAATTTAATGTTTAGACATATTGAGATATATGAAATAGCCAATAAAATGACCAATAGAACTTGTTAGGGATGAAATCTGAGCTTTAGAGGGAGATTCTATTGCTCTCACTATTAACATGGAATGGAACCAAGACCCTAATTTGGGACGTATATCTTTAACATACAGATTTGGGACGTATGTCTTTAACATACAAACTTTAAAATGCTAAAGAAATTTAAACCATGTTGAAATACTGAATTCAATAAATACTTATTGCTTGTGGATACCAGCCTTGTGCTCGGTACTGTTGCTATAGCAGCAAATGCGTCAGAATCTGTCTCTCCTTCCTAGAGTATGTGGTCAGGACCAGTTTCTCTTAGGTGGAGGTCCTGGAACCGCCTACATTAGAATCCTCTGATGTCTTTGTTAAAAATACAGATTTCTTGACCGTCCCTCCGTGATCTGAATCTTTGGGGGTGAGTTTCAGGAATCTAAATTCTCAGCCAGCTTTCTTGTGACACTCGGTCTCATTTGAATGAGACCAACTGGTCCAGATTATTACCTGCTACATTAAAACCAAGAGAATGGCCAAAACCAGTTTGGCTCAGTGGATAGAGTGTCGGCCTGCGGACTGAAAAGTCCCAGGTTCGATTACGGTAAAGGGCATGTACCTCGGTTGCGGGCACGTCCCCAGTGGGAGATGTGCAGGAGGCGGCTGGTTGATGTTTCTCTCTCATTGATGTTTCTAACTCTCTATCCTTTTCCCTTCCTCTCTGTAAAAAATCAATAAAATAAAATAAAAAATAAATAAAAAAACAAGAGAATGGTCTCTGAAGATAGGCAACAAGAAATGAGCCAAACATTTGCCTAGAAGCAAATAGGGGGATTTTTAAAAGAAGGCAAGATTTCTGCTTTCGCTGCTGTTTTGAGTAGAGTGTTTAGGGCTATTTTCAAAGCTCAGCAAGTGCTTAAAAGCATCAAACGAGAGGAAACTATGGCTGCTTGATGGCTGCAGATGAAAATTCCTGGTCAGTTTAAACTCTGTGATGTAGGACTATATGTTTAGTGGTTCCTGTATGAAAACTGCCCCCAAAATGTTCCTGCCTACTCCCTTTATAGCCAGCTTTTGTTTGCTAACCTTTAGGAGCAGTGTGATTCTGTTAAAAAGTCATTGGACAGGAAATGAAATTAGGATTCCTGGATCCTTTTGTCAATTAGGGCCTTTATTTGGCAAATCAGACAACTGTACTTATTGCCAGGCATTAGAGGGTTAGAGTGTGAGTCCTTCCTTATTGTAATACTTCTGTTATTTAGTTATCTTTAAAATGACAACTCTCCACTCAGTTTCTTCTGTTTGGTACAAAAGGCACAAGCAAATCACAAGATAATTAGAATATTTGAGACTCTAGGAAAGTTTCTGGGGCTATTAACAATTTTTACATGCTATTTTAAAAAAATATATATTTTTTATTGATTTCAAAGAGGAAGGGATAGGAGAGAGAAAGATAGAAACATCAATGATGAGAGAGAATCATTGATTGGCTGCCTCCTGCAAGCCCCAAACTGGGGATCAAGCCCGCAACCCGGGCATGTGCCTTGACTGGGAATTGAATCCTGATCTCCTGGTTCAACCACTGAGCCATGCCGACTAATTTTACCTGCCTTTTTTAAACTAATAGATTTGAAGTGGGTGCGAGGAGACACTGTATGCTTCTCTGGTGGAGTTTCTTAGTGTACAAGCTGGAATAGGTGTTGAGTTTAACCTGTTGAAACAAGTGATAAGACGGGGGAAAGCTGTGGTAACAGAATTATGCTTTCTGAAATTTGTATTTGCAACTTCTAAAATGATCTAAAGCTTTGGTTTTCAAACTGGATGGAGTACAATTGACAATTTGGATTCTGCTTTATCCAGACACATGTATTGAAGACAGTTGGACTATTGGTGCTGGAAATACTAATAGCATTTTATATGATTCTTTTCTTTTAATACCATAGATGATTGACCCCAACATCAATAATTTGAATGATGCTGCTTTTATCGTTCTACCATTTTTCATGGGATTAATAATAGTTAATATTTATTTTGTGGGTACAAAGACTCTGACACTCTCCCAGGCACTTTACATAATAATAACAATCTATTTTCAAAGTTTCCCTAGGAAATATAATGCATTTTTCAGCCGCTGCACAGTATTTTTAGGATGTTTGCTTTTTTGTGTCAAGGTTATAATGGTGGTGCTAGCAATCTGTTGTTATTAGTCTTAAAAATTATTAGATTTCAGAGTAATTGAATTTTCAACTCAACAATATGATTCTGCTGTTGCTTGTTACAGGATGGCTAGTAGACACGACTGGCAGCTACACAGCCGCATTTCTTCTCTGTGGATTTTCAATGATATTTAGTTCCGTGCTGCTCGGCTTTGCTAGACTTGTGAAGAAGATGAGAAAACCACAGCTGCGGACCCTTGCCAAAGAGTCTGATGCCAAACTGCAGCTATGGACCAACGGATCGGTGGCTTATTCTGTAGCAAATGAATTAGATCAGAAAGACCGAGAATCTGTGGCCATTGCTGTGCCTGGTTACAACCCCACCTGACCAGTGGCCTTGAGCTTGGGAATCTGCAGGGCTAAGAGAGGTGGGACCCCTGGAATGTACACGTTTCTAAAGCATTTTATTTTGGCAGAAGCATTGCCTTCCAAGGAAATAATTATTGTTTGGTTTTTAAAAAAACATATTTATAGGGGGAAATAGCAAGTAACAAAGCAAGCTGGACTGGCTCAGAGTTTCCTCATTTGGGATTTGCACTCACAATGGAACTTACATCTTTCAGGCAGCGAGCATCACCCCGTAGAGAATGCTAGAACATAGCTGATATAATTAGCTGCAAGTAGGGGTAAATTCAGGGCATGAACAAAGAAGATGACACTGGACAGTAGCTTTGTCTCAAACTCTCTGGCCCTTCACTTTCCTTCTTTAGTGAGAAGGTGAAGAGAAGCATTGACATGTAGGTCTGTCTGCCTTATTCTGTGTGAAGGAAGGCATCGGCTTAGGTCTGGTAGTGGAAGGTGAAGGTGCCAAACCTTTTTCATATGGAGCTTCTCATTAGCATTTTAAACAGGATTGTTAAAGGATATTTTAGATTCTTTAAGACAATGATTAATACCGAAGGAAAGCGACTATCTCCCCCCTTCCATCCTTCTTATTCCTTCAGCCAGTCCTTGCTTTTGACAACAATGGGCACCACTTTGAGAATCCAAAGAATCATAGAATGCTGTGGTTAGAAATTATCTTAAAGGTGGCTGGTAAGATATTCTCTTTGAAATAGTGCACTGGAAACTAAAAGGTGTCTCCCCCCCAACCCTCTACCCCCCAAAAAACACACACACACACACACACACACACACACACAAAAAAAAAAAAAACTGGTGTCCCAGACTCTTACCTCCGTTACTATCATGTACAATACTTATTTTAATTTAGCAAAACAATCAAGTTGCAAGGACAATTTCTACCTTTAATGTTAACACCAACACTTGGTGTGTTTTTCTTTTTTTTTTCTCCTTGGGAAAAGAGCGCTTGTTTATGGATTGCAAACACATTCCTGTTAGGAATGGAAAAATATTGGCAGTACTCCAACTGGCCAAGAATTGAACTCTGGAATCAGCAGGTCTCTGGTGAGAGTTTTCTTTTCAGATTGGACATGTCGGTTCATCACTGCCCAAAACAGGATTTGGGGGTTTTGTCTGAGAAATATTATTCTAGAGATATTCTGAAGGCGAGATTCCTTTCTCTCCGTGTCACTTCCTGCTCAGTTGTCCACTACTTTTTATCTCCTCATGGATACTCATTGGAAACTTAGTGGACATTTATAGCTGAATGAGAATGTTTCAGGGTTAACTTCAGCATCATAGCACTCTCAGAAATTAAAACTTTGAACGGGGGAAAGGGCGAAGTTTAAGAAAGCCACTGGTGTGATATTTTATAATTCATAGAACACTTTAATTGACCAGATTAGAATAGTTTACTAATTCCCAAGTACTCTACTTTCCAATGGTTTGGGATAATTTCTGAGTCTCCAGATTAAAGAGGGAAGACATGGGAGAGAAGAGATGGCTCCCAACCCGTCTCTAATGATTTTAAATACACGGGATGATAATCCTGAACCCCAAATTATGTTACACTTTTAAATAGGGGCACATTATACAATTGAAAGTGGATTTTAACCATTGAACATATTTCAGTCTGAACCTCAAGGAAATATTTTGACGCTGAAGGCCATTTAATCCACCTTCTTCCAAGAGGCTCACAAATGCCCTGCCAGAGGTACTGAGAAAAAAAAAAAAAAACACAAACAAAAAACAGCAATGAGGAAGATTTTAGATGAACTATGCACATTCAGCAAGTCTTTGCACATAACTGGATTATTTAATAAAACTACAGATTAATGTGTTGCTTTCTGAATGAAATTCTGACTTGATTTGATGGGAGAAAACTGTAATATTTCATAGTTGTTTTTCAAAGAAATTTGAATGTTACTTGTTATCTTTTTACTTAGTGTGAGAATTTAGTTGTGAACTTTGTCACCTGTTCTTTTTTTTGAGTAATATGTTTTTCCTTTATTTTATTTTTCTATCACCATAAACCCTCTCCCACCCCTCCTCCACAGTCACTGCACTGTTGTCTGTGTCCATAAGTTCTTTGTCTTTTTTTTCTTCTCTGTAATTTTAAAACAATATGGAAAATATCTATAAAAAGTCAAAGTTAAAAATGAAGGTAGATGTGGTCAGAATAGCACTTTATACTAAATGTCATTTCTTGAACCTTCAAGTCTAAAGGTTTTTTAAAATATAAAGTTATTATTATTATATATATGTATATTTCCTATAAATGATCATAATAAAATTTTATTTCTCTGATCCTGAAATATAATTTCTCTAAAGTATTATGAATATTCACAAAAAATAAGCATAGAGATCAGAGCTTTTAAAAATTTGTATAATATATTTGAGATATTTTGATTTTACATGCATGAATTTCTATTTTATAGTATTTTTATAGAACCGGTTGGGAAATATAGATCTTAGAGATTATCATTGTCATCTACACACAATTGTTTATTTCAAATGGAGGGATTCATGGGAATGATGTTTGTGGAATGAAGGACAAAATTCTGGTGAGATGATGTCAGATCTTAAATATTTTTTTATGTCACTGCAAGCTATACTCTGAAATGGACTGAGTAGGAAAACAAAGAAAATTAAGTGATGTCAGTACTTTTTCAAATTGTGATCTCTAATAGATCAGAAATTTATGCTAATATTTTCTTCAAAAGCTTAATAAAATGAATTTATAGTTGTGTGTGGAAAAACATTTTCCTGCTGCACAAGGGGTTTGGATGGGATGGTGTGTGGGCCTCGTCTGAATCACACTAAGATTTAACTGGTATAAAAAGATGTGGTAGCAGTCAAATATTTTACAAAACCCCAAACCATTTATGAGTACTTCCAATGTATCAGCTACTGTGCTAAGCACTTCCTATACATTGTCTTATTTAATCCCCACGAGAGCCTAAATTATTGCCGTTCTATAGGAGTGGAAACTGAGGCCTCAGGCCCAGCACCTCGTGAAATCCTGCAAAACTAGGAAGCTGATGCTGGAGGCTGCCTCCTTCTCTCCTGCCCTCTCCGATCATTTTCTGATGTGGACTTAAGAAGCCCTTTGGAAACAGGCCCTTCCTTGGGCAGATAAAATCCTTTGGATTATATTTGAATCTTCCCATTCGTATAGATGGGGAGATTCTAAGTTGAAAATTTCCAAGGGTTTTCCCAAGAGTCTGGTTCCATCAAGACCCCTTCTTCCAGGCTAAGTGATGTAATTGGTGTCTATTGATCCAGGTTCTCTTTGGGAACATTTGTGTGGGGGGACTAGGAAGACAGTTGGGGAGCCCACTTTGTCACAAAAGGGAGTTCTGCCTTCCACATTACCACAGTCAGGAGTTGAGCTCTTTCTGAAGTGCCTGCACCATTGCCCAGTGACAATGAAGATGGTAGTCAACTTGACTCTCACCTTCCTGGTCCCAATCGGTATAATTCTGAAATTATGTATTGAAATGAAATAGAGTGAATCTGAGTTTTTCTCCTCATACTTCAATATTTGAGGGTTTTGTTAAAAAAAAAAATGATACAACTGTGTTCAACCAGACAGACAGGCTTAATTCGATTGAGTGCCAGGGCTGGGAGTAGGATGCTGCTCACACAGGAGGCCTGAACATTGGGAAAAGATGGCGTTACAGGTATAGGCACCACACAAGCTGTTTTTATTTTACACAGAAACTAAGGTTTGACTAGGAGCAGAAGTCCCTGACTAGAGTCTTTTGCTCAGTCTTATGCTGGCCTCTATATCATAGGGCATTACTGATAAGGCATTTCTCCCCATCCTCACCAACTCTCATTGACTTTTTAATAATAGCCATTCTGACAGGTGTGAGGTGATATCTCATTGTGGTTTTGATTTACATTTCTCTGATGATTGATGATGTTGAGCAAGTTTTCTCTTCTTAAAGGGACTAGCCCTTCAGGAAAGCCTTTCCTTTATTGACATGTTGTGTGGCACTGCCATCTGCTGGAATTAGTGAGACCACCTCCCAGAAGGTGGTGATGCCTCCAACTGGACAAGGTCAGCCTTAGAAGCATTAAAGTTTGTAGTTTCCTACTCCTCTTATCCCCAGTCCTGCTCATTACCCATCCCACATTTACCTTCTTCCTCTTGCAAGTACAAATATAGGGATAAAGATGCTGTGTGTTGTTTTTCAGTACTTTGGTTGCTCAGGTTATTTCTCTTCATAGAATATCAAAGTTAATATGATGATGATTTTGATTGACTTGTCTATGAATAACCATCGGTAAAATTTTTTATACCTCTGCCTTTCTTGGGAACCCATATTGCCATCTTGGGGTACATTCTTGGTCCCCAACTAATGTGCTAGTTGATTTGATATGAGTTGATAAAGGATTAAGTTAAAGTGTAATATAGAGACCCTATCCGGTTTTGCTCAGAGGATAGAGGGTCGGCTTGCAGACTGAAAGATCCAGGTTCAATTCCAGTCAAGGGCATGTACCTTGGTTGCGGGCACATACCCAGTAGGGAGTGTGCAGGAGGAAGCTGATCGATGTTTCTCATCAAAGTTTCTAAATCTCTATCCCTCTCCCTTCTTCTCTATAAAAAATCAATAAAATATATATATTAAAAAGAGACCGGTCATTGACTATATTTGTGTAACACAAAGAACTCAAACACATATCAGAATTCAAATTTTGAGAAATGTTGAAACAAAAACGATATAGGGAAGTGTATTCTGTGTCAATTTGGAAGCATAACACATCCTTATTATACTTTACACAAATTATGACAGATTTAGTGATTAATTTACTTTATTATTTTTTAAAAATATGTATTTTATTGATTTCAGAGAGGAAGAGAAAGGGAGAGAATGATAGAAACATCAATAATAAGAGAATTATTGATTGGCTGCCTCATGCATGCCTCCTACAGGGGATCAAGACCTCAACCTGGGTATGTGCTCTTGACTAGAATCAAACTGGGACCCTTCAGTCTGCAGGCCAATGCTCTATCCATTGAACAAAACCAGCTAGGGCTGAATTTACTCTAATATGTGTATTTCCTGTGAAAATATGAGGGGATGCTATTTATTTATAACAATTTTGTTTAAAGGAGAGTATACCATGTTAAAATGAAGGACCCTTTTGTTGAACTAAGTAATTTGGTGAATTTGCATAGGTGGGTCATGGCTGAGTATGAGGGTAAGAGTTAGAACTGAATTGCTCTATTTAAAGAAAATGAAGGATGTGGTTTTTATTTCAGAGGAAGAAGAGTAGAGATAGGAAAGAGGTAAGGCCTAGAATCATGGAAAGAGACACGAACATCAAAAATGTTTGAGGCTCTTTCCTTCTCACTCCATTTCTCTTTCCTTTCTCCACCTTTTGTCTTCCTCCCTCTATGAGCATTCTCTTTTTCAAAAGAGAAACAGGAATTATCTAATATTAACTTGTAGACTCTTCTCTCCTGAAATCTTAATACAAGGTTTTTATACACAAACTACTGTGATTTTTAAAAATATATATTTTTATTGATTTCAGAGAGAAAGGGAGAGGGAGAGAGAGAAACATCAGTGATGAGAGTAAACTGTTGATCAGCTGCCTCCTGCACCACCCCTACTGGGAATTGAGCCTTTTCCTTAGATTGAGTCTCAGACCAGGGCACATGCCCTCCTGGTTCATAGGTCAGCACTCAACCATTGAGCCATACCAGCTGAGCTGTGATTTTTATTTTGGGTTTTGTTTTGTTTTTATGTTTTGTGCCACTGAAGTGTTAATGTGGGATGGAAGAGGGAAAACATGTAAAGAGAGGTGAAGCTACTCTTAGGCTAAATTAATACTCAGTGGAATCCAGGGCTCAGAGGCAGTCTCTAAAATCCCTGACTTGGAAGTTCAAGGCAAACACAGGGGATACTGAGGAAGGTGATCCCAGCCTATCTCTGGTTGTTACGTGTGCTACAGCACTCTCCACACGGGGTCAAGATTCTGATTCTGGTTGGTGTGTGTATGGCAGATGCATCCTACCTCCCAAGGAAGAAGGCCTGGTGTCCTTGCTTCTAATTGTTTGCTGGTTCTTCAGCCTTCCAAAATAGGTTTGATGAATACATTCCAAATTTCTGATTTCCAACATCCAACTCTTGAGACAAGCCTTTACCTTAGAGTCCCTTGGTTTCTTGAACTACTCAAAGGAGACTATTCTAACTATCCAGGCCAATGGAGTCTCATTTCTTATAATCCACCAGTTATAAAAAATTTTTTTAAAAAAAGCATGCCAAATTTTCACATTTTATACTTCTGTCATGTTCTTTAATCTCAACAATAAGTACATTCTATAAAAGAACCATCCATAGGCCTGCTTGTGTTATAATCACATCATGACCAAATAAACTGCCAGTTCAAGTTTAATTGGTATAACAAATATTATTCCTAGAGCTGGTGCACAAATTCGTGCACCTTGAAAGGAATTGTGGGCCATGAGGCTATGGTAGGCACAGGGACGGGTCGTGGCCCATCCTCCATGCCCCCACCTGGCCCCTCCTGCTGCAGCCCCACTCCCACTTGCTGACAGTGCCAGTCCCACTTGCACCCACTGGCAGCGAGGAGCAATTGGGGCTGGCACCAGCAGTGGGTGCGAGCAGCAGCTTGCTGCCCTGATCGCCCCTCAGAAGCAGGGGGAGGTGGAAAAGCCCTCAGGAGTGACCAAGGCTGGCAGCCACTGCTTGCACCCACTGATATTGCTGAGTGATCGGGCGTGGTGCTGGCTGCGGGTGCAAACAGGGCTAGCACTGGCAGTGGGTGCGAATGGTGGCTCTGGCACTGGCAGCGGGTATGAGTGGGGCCAGTGCTGGCAGCAGGTGCAAGTGCCAGGAGGGACCATGGCATGCAGGAGCAAAGAATCTTCAGTAACCACGAGGCTTGCCTGATGACAGTGACAGGCGCCCGGCCCCATCTTGGTCTGGCACCCCTGCTCACCTGCTCCACCATCCTACCATGGCCAATGCCCGCCATGTTCTGTACACGCCCCCTGGTGGTCAGTGCATATCATAGCAACTGGCTGTTCCGCTTGTTCTACTGTTTGGTCTTTTTGCATTACAGCCTTTTATTGCATAGGATAGGTAGAAACTGTCAAATAGGGAAGAATGATGAACTAGAAAGAAGGAATTAGTTGTGAAATTTAAAGTCACATCACCAATCGATGCCCAATTTTCTTACCAATCAAGTTGGCTAGAGCAGGTATTTTCTTATGGCCCTCCTGGTTCTGAAGTTCTGTGGGTCTATGCAGTTCTTCTTGAACTGAGATAATTTTCAAGGACTCAATCCAGAAAGGAACAGCGCTGCTTATACTGTCCTTGAAACTCTGGCAGATAACATGTGGTCAACTGCTAAGACTAGTTCTGCACTCAGGACAGAAAATAGGTTTACGAGCTCCATTACTCTGAAGCTAGTTTTCCTGCCAGCTGATTCTCTTGTTGAAGGGTTTTTTCTCATCTGTTAAGAGACTGGTAGCATAGCTTTACTGATCAATAAAATAATTTCCAAGATCACTTGGAGATCTGGAAAGAGGGACTTCTCTCTTCCCGAAGGCTCAAATCACCCAAAAAGGCAATTAAAACTACTTCCCTGGGCATATTTTTGGTCTAAAAAAACAAACAAACAAACAAAAAAACGGATTAGATTTCTGAAGTCCATAAAGACAGACTAAAATGCGTGAACTTCAGGCCATACTCTTCAGTTAAATGGAAGGAATACATTTCTAAGAATAAGGACTATCTGAAGATGAAGTTATCATTTGGGAAGATAACTTGTCATCAAAAATTGAAGTTTTTATGGTTAATTAATAAAGTGAACTCTGGAGTCTATGAAATAATTTCCAAACAGTTATACACTTTAGGAAGAAATGTACAATTATTGACAAAATTTAGTTATTATAAACATTAATTTTAGTTCATTCATATACTGTTTTTATACTTTCTTAACATGTTATTACTTCTTATATATTTCAATATTTAATATCTAATGAGTTTTTAGATCATTTCATAGATCTGAATGCCTAATATTTAAATATAGTGGCTTATAGTTATCTTTGTTGTGATACCGTAACTGTATTTTATTGCATATCAAGTGCCTACTTGGGAGCACAACCTTAATTACATTATTTCCAGTAAGGGAAAATGATTTCTGCAAAATAAAATATTCTAGTCCCGAATTTCTAAAATACTTGAGTAAAGATCATTCCCTTCCCTGTTCTTCCTTCTTGAATAAACAAAATGAATGAAATAAATAAAAACAGCAGAGATTTGAGTAAAACAAACATTAAAAAGAATTTAATTCATGAGATACACTGCAGTATATATGTATGTTTGAATGTGCATAAAAAAAAACACATCTGGAAGGATACATATCAAATTTCTAACAGTTTACCTTAAAGGTGCAGGATTGGAGTAGGGTAAGGGAAGTGCTCTTAAAGTCATATACTTCTGCATTGTTGGAAATTTTACAATGATAATTCACTACAATAAAACCATAAAAAATAAAAATAGCAACAAAAAGTAAAACACATACACATACACATTAGTTTTAAGATACATTGGCAGTATAGAGAATTATATCACATGGCACACTTTTCCACTAATACTGATAGTAAACATAATCAAAGAAATACCTTATAGAAGCCACTTTTAGCAATATCCCAACCTAGGGAGGGAGCAGGAGTGGAGGGGGGGGGGGGGGGCGGAGAGACACGAAGTCATTGAAGGGAAAAGGGGGACAGCAGTAATACTTTCAACAATAACAATATTTTTTTAATTCCCTTGAGATCAGAGCCCTTAAACAGTGACCCTTCAAGGTGGATATTAAAACTAAAAGCTGGGGTTACCTATTACTGGATGATCTATAGGAAAGCATGGCAATCTGAAAACTTCAGATAAAAGAAATAGCTTCACAGAAGTTGAAATTCTAAAACAACCAAAAGCCAGAAACTGGGGGTATGAGAATTCTTCCCAGTCCAGACCCAAAACTAAATCATTGAAATTTTAGTAATCTAGAGATATAGGTTAGGGACTTCTACTTTAGGAATCTGCATATCATTATTTCAAATTTTCTCAGTTAGTCTGCTTTCTATTTCAATGATTGTAACCTAAAAACACTGCAATTCTAATTGGGAAAAATAAAATTAATTTAATCTAGATTCAGTTTAGGCATATTCTTCTAGTTAAAGAACAAGAGAAGCTTGAGACTAGTGATTTTCCATTATCCATTATTTTCTCATCACTGTTTCTAGCTACGTAATGCACATACTAGGAGATAATACTTTTTTCTCATGTTCTAGGGTTTTTTTTTTGTTGTTGTTGTTTTTTATTGAGTCATCAGAAATGACCAATTTTTTATTTTGAACTTTTTTCTTTCAACAAAGAGGAATCTTGAGGTTGATGGTTAAATATCCTCATTGAAGTCAGGACATCCGTAGCTAGAAGGTTCTACCTTTTGTAAGCTATATAACTAAGAATTTAAAATGCTGCACTCCTGAAACAGTGTTCCTGACCTTGGTGTCAGAGATTTATGTAGGATTATACTCACCGCCTCAGTGAGTAATATGGGAAATTCGATAAAATTTAATCGAAATATCCTTATAAACAGCAGCCATCAAGGGTATAAAGTCATCATAATGGCCATGTCATTTTTAAGTGAAAACAGCTGGAACGTTGCTGTTTCTTAGTGAGATATAGTATTTTAATTTTCAAAGTAGAAAACAAGTGGCTCATCCTCATGTACATAAGGTACTTAGCAGGATGCCTGGTCCACGATAATGACTCAATAAAAACTGACTCTGTAATGAACGGATAAAAACAATCAACCAAAGTGTAAGAACCCCAAATAAAGAGAAGGGCTTTAAAAACCGGTTTCCTAGGAAACATAGCTAAGCGGAAAGCCGAAGCTCACAGAGGGCCGTGAGGAACTCCACGTTTTCTGGATCTACCTTCTGGGCCCTCTCGTAATACTCGGCAGCCTGCCTTTTTTCCCCCTCCAGCTTGTACACGAAGCCGAGGGCGCTCAGGCTCTGCAGGTCTGCCGCGTTGTGCCCCAGCCGCTTGGTAGCCAGTTTCTTCAGGGCGCTCGTCAGTTTGGGGCGCAGGGAGGACCGGTCTTTGACCTTGAGGGCTTCCAGGTAATGGTGGATGGCGGTGTTTTCTGACTTACGGTGGAATTCTTGAAAGCGGCCGTAGTGGTAGTGGATCTGATGCTTGTGGTCATCCGTGATGTTCTCCAGGCGAAGGGCTTTCTGGAAAATGTCTTCGGCGTTGCTGTACTGGCCTCCCTCGGCGTACATGTTGGCCAGGTCGGTGTAGGCGAAGGCGAACATGGAGTCTCGTTCCACGGCTGCCTTGAAGTGAAAGATGGCAGACGTGATCAGCCCGTCCACCTTCAGTTTGTCTTTGCCTTTGGGCCTGTTGCGCGTGGCTTTCTTGATTTGGATCATCTGGGCCCGGTAACAGAGTCCCATCTGGTGGTGCAGGAAGGAGGAGGTCGGGGTCACCTCCAAAGCCTTTTTCAGGAGTTCAAGGGCTTTGTCCCAGGAGTTTTTCCTCCGGTAGAATTTGGCCGCGTAACGAAGGACATAAGGCTCGGAGGATATCTGGTCCAGGATCTCTTCAATGTACTTTTCCCCTTCGGCTTCCGCGTGTACATCTTGGAGCTTCAGTGCCAGGAAGACCTTGATGTAGGTGTTATCCGGGTTCAGGGTGACAGCCTTCCTCAGAGGGCCCAGAGAGAAGCTTTTCACAGACCCTTCCCGGTCGGAATCATCCAGCCGGTACACGGTGATGGCATACCCGATGTTAAATTCTGGGTTGTCTGGTTCCACTTCCAGAGCCTTCTCAAAAGCCGCTTTAGCCTTTTGGTAATACTTTCCCCCAAATTTCAGAAGGGCCCACCCTCTCTCACAGTCAATCTCGGGACACTCCAACCTGTAGTTGAAAGGGCTGGACATCTTCTTGCAGACGTCCCCTACCTTGTCTGCGTACTCCCGAGCTGCTTTCAGCTGGCCCATGTCATGGTACACCCAGGCGTAATTCCCCCAGGTGACCAGGCTTCGCACTTCTTCTTGGTCCGAGTGCTCCCGCTGGATTATCTGTTCTGCTTGTTCCAAGCACTCCAGGGCATCCTTGTTCTGGCCTTTTAGGTGTTTCACGTAGGCCAGTAAGTTATAAAGAGTGAGTCTGGATTTTGTCGTCAGAAATTCAAGCTGTTGCCCAATTGTGTCTTCCACGTCAAACAGATCAATGTCCTCCTTGAGTAGATTCCAGGTGAAGTGACATTCTAACTCCAACAGAACGGTCTTCAGGGAATCCTCAGGAAGCTCACTGTCAAAGATAAAATTCGTTTTAGTTTCTGAACAAAGGAAACACTTTTTAAACCACAGTACTATTCTTAATAGCAACTTTTATCTTTTATTGGGTCTTAGAGTTAAATCATAGGCTACTATAACTTTATACTAGATCTCTATGTGTACAGTTATTTTCCATTGATGGAAAACTACTATATTCCCATAAACTACAAGCTAGGAAAAGGCCCTTACTTCACAGTAACTCTATTCTGGAAAAGGAACAAAAGGTGTTGACAGAAAATAAACATGCATACAAATCAGTGGACAACATAATTCAGATAGTAACCAGTGCTAAGAAGAAGAATGGGATTGAGTGGTGCTGCTGGTGGGGGATACTTTAGTTAAGATGGTTAAGGAACAGCCCTTGTGACAAGGAGCAACTGAAGTATGATCTCAACAATGAAAAGGAGGCTGTCATAAACCATCTGAGGGCAGAATGGTCTAAGCCAGTGCTTCGAAGCCAGGGTGATTTTAACTCCCAGGGGACCTTTGGTCATGTGTGGAGACCATTTTGTTTGTCACCACAGAAGGAATGGTCGGCCCCAACCACCAAGAATGATCTGGTCCAAAATGTCAGATGGTTTGGGCTGAGGTACCAGCAAGCGCAAAGGCCTTGATGTGGGAATAAATTTGGCAGTGTTCAGGGGACACAAGGAAGTGTGGCTGAAGCATAAACAAAAAGGACAATAGATGAGAAGTGGTAGGCAGGGGCAGCTGACTTAAATTGTACTCTGACTGCAATGGGAAACCTTTGGAGAAAAATTAAGTAGGGAAAGGAAAATGTTTGATCTAAGCTTTAAAAAGTTTTGGATGCTCTGTGGAGGATGGACCATAGAGAGTCAAGAGAGGAAGTTGGGAAATTAGTGCAACAGCTATTTACTCAACAAATAGTTATCGAGAGCCTACTATATGCCTGACACTGCTCAGGTTGGGGATACAGCAGTGAACAAAACAGGAAAAAAAAAATAATTCTGACTTCATGTAGCTTACATTCTAACAGGGGATGGGATGTGCCATAAAGAGACAAAATATAGAGTATGTGAGATGCTAATAAGGCCAAGGAGAGAAATAAAGCAAGAGAAGGAAATGGGTGCCTGGCAGGAAATGGGTGCCTGGCAGGAAATGGGTAGCATGGCCAAAGCAAATCTCCCTAAAAGAGACATGAAGGCAGCTGTTGATGTAATCCAAGGAGAGATTATGCAAGCGTACACTCAGGTTGTAGTAGAGGTTTATTGAGCTCTGCATTGTTAGATTTTGGAGGCAGAACTGATAGATCACGGATGATTGCTATGCTTTTGACTTTAAGAGCTGAGTGGATAAATCAAGAGGACTGTTTGGCAATGTTAACTCAAAGATGTCTATTATCACTTGAATTGCAAGAAAGATGGACCACAAAGAGAAGTGACGCAGTTTTTTGTTTTTTTAATTTAATTATTAATGCTCAAATCTTGATCTCCAGCCCCAAACTCCTAACCCTGGTTGCTGTGCCCTTCATCTCCAGCCCATGTCTACTCCTCTAGCCTCATTTTGTACCACTTTCCTTTCACACACTGCACTCCAGCCATACCGGCCTTCGAAACATCTTTACTGTTTATTATTTCTTATGCCAAATATGTACTATCGCAGGGCATTTGTACCTTCTTTTTTATTCCCTAAGAGAGTTTCAGGGCTGGCTTATTCTCGTTAATTCTGGTCTTTGGCTCACATCTCAGCTCTCTGAAGAGAGCTACCTGACTATCTCAGAGAAAAGCTGCACCCCACCTTGCTAGTCCATCCTGAAGTCTAGTCAATCACATTTTCCTGTTCTTCATGGCACTTATAACGCTATTTGCTGGGGTTGGAAAGGAGGAAAGTATTTTGAGTCAAATATGAGATTTAAATGAATTGGCTTGTAGGAATTGGAAAGGGGCCATCCTAGTAGCCAAAAGTGACAGAAAAATTAGAGAACTGGATTAATTGCAAAATTAGTAGCAGTGATTAAAAAAATAATACCAATATTTAATGGGTAGCACAGTTTGTTCAAGTATCATCCCCAAAGGTTGTGGGGTTGATTCCGGTCTGGGCACATAATCTAATATACTACTCCATGAAATGTTTTCCAATTTTTATAAATACTAAATGTAAATATTAAAATTGAGTTTATCTATTAGACATTTAAATTAGCTTATTAATTTCCATTTTTATAATTTTCCACATTTATTTTCTCTCTGTTTGTATATATAAATATACACATACCATATACACAGGTCCCACATTTCAGTGGCTACAGGTCTAGACTAGAGTTTTCCAACAGAACTTCTTGCCCTGATGGAAATATTCATATCTGTGTTCTACAATATGGTAAACATTAGCCACACATGGCCACTGGTCATTTGAAATGCAGCTTGTACAATGAAGAAACTGGATTTTTGTTTTACTTACTTTATTTAACTTGTCACATAGGACTGGTGGCTATGGTATGGGACAGTTAAGAAACAGTGTACCTTGGGGCTTGATGGGTAAAAAGGCCTCAAGCCTAACAGGTTAGAGCTCTCATTTACTTTAAATTTCTGCTATTTTACTGAAGGCGAAGAGCTAAATTAAATACAAACAAGGATATATTTGAAAACTTTATGCATATCACCGTGTTTAGTGTACATTCAATTCAACAGTATAAATATATACTACTTAGAATATACTGTCTAAAATCATATGAGTACTCAAAAAAAAAACAAATAACTAAAACTATAATTCACGGAAGGTTTACTACATGCCAAGCAGTGTGCCAAGCATTTTATATAAATTACATTAATTTTTATAAAAACCTCTTGCCTGGCTGGTGTGGCTCAATGGTTGAGCATCGACTCATAAACCAAGAGGTTGATGGTTTGAATCACAGTCAGGGCATATTCCTAGGTTGCAGGCTTGATCCCCAGTAGGGAGGGGGGCATGCAGGAGATAGCCAACTGATGATGTTTCTATTTCTCTATCCTTTTCACTTCCTTTCTCTCTAAAACTCAATAAAAACATATTAATATCAATAATATTTTCACAATTTTATGATGAGTACTGGCAGAGAGTTTAAATTACATGTCTAAAGTTACACCGCTATAAAGTGCCTGAGCCAAAAGCTATGCCTTTCAACCATATTATTTTAAAATATATATATTTTATTGATTTCTTTTACAGAGAGCGAGAGAGAGGGATAGAGAGTCAGAAACATCTGTGAGAGACAGAAACATTGATCAGCTGCCTCCTGCACACCCCCTACTGGGGATGTGCCCGCAACCAAGATACATGCCCTTGACTGGAATCGAACCTTGTTCACAGGCCAACGCTCTATCCACTGAGCCAAACCAGTTTCGGCTCAACCATATTATTATACCACTTCTCATATACAAATTGGAGGGCTGCTTTTCATAAAATATTTTTCTTTAAAACACAGGATATATCTAATGTATATAAAATTCACTTTGTTGAAAGAGTCCCTAAAGAGAAAACAAGAAGGGATTTCAGAGAAGCTTAAAGAGCAGGTAAGAGGTTTGTGTGACTGACCATTGGAAAAAACAGACCAGATAAAGGTCTCAGGCTAAGAAAACAACAATTTCATATATGAGCCCTAAAGGTCAAAGCATTCTACTTTGTTGAAACTGTTTTGAGTCGGGCTACTTCTCATCAGGATGTGCTTCACTGAAAGCTTCAGATAGGGAGTGGCAGAGATATATATTTATTTAAAGACAATTAATGTCTCTCTCAAACAAGAGAGCTGGGCAAAAATGTGTTAAAGGTGATCTGAAGGAAGTGCAAGAATCTTAGCTAACAAAGATATAAGTATCATTATTAACATGTTAAGCACCCAGCCTGTTTTGTCTTTCAGACAGAAAGTACAGTGTCAGTCACTAGTGACTAACTGGGCGCTTAACGTGTTAAGTGAATTAAAATACTTTTCCGGCCCTAGCTGGTTTGGTTCAGTGGATAGAGTGTCGGCCTGCGGACTGAAGGGTCCCAGGTTCGATTCCGGCCAAGGGCACATGTCTGGGTTGTGGGTTTGATCCCCAGTGAGGGGCATGCAGGAGGCAGCCGATCAATTATTCTCTCTCATCATTGATATTTCTATCTCTCTCTCTCCTACCTTCCTCTCTGAAATCATATATTTATATTAAAAACTTTTCTGCACAACCCAATTAGAGACTTGCTGTTGTATAGCAGATGCCCTTCCAAAGTATTTCCTCTATCTCTGATCTCTCCTCTGAATTCCAGACTTATCTCATTTTTAGTTCAAATAAAATACAGAAATTTGGGTCCGAGTCTGTTTTTCCCTGTCTTCCCCACCTTGTTTGGCACCTCTTAGTTCCACAGGTCAAAACTGAGGAATAATTTTTGGTTCCTCTTCTCTCAATCTTCATACAAATCCAATAGGAAGTCCTGTTAGTTCTACCACCCAGCTACATTTCAAACCCACCTACTTTTCTCCATTCCCACTGCTATTTAGCTACTATAAACAACAATCACCTTTCCTTTGAGCTGGGGGGGGGGGGGGGGGGGAGGAATTAGTCTCTCTGCTTTTACTCTTGGTCCCCATATAGTAAGTAGTAAACTTTTGGAAATATAAACCAGATTATGTCAGTCTTAAAATCTCCAAATGATTCCCAACACCCTTAGATACTCATCCAGCCATATCCTACAAGTTCTTAGAGGAGTTGGCTGTGTTTTATCCATCCTTCTCTTCTACTACTCTCCCTCCTCATTCACAGTGACCTTCTTTCTGTAGTGGCATACCAAGTTCAAGGACTTTTACACCTGTTGTTTTCACTCCATTTAGAATGCTCTGGTCCTAAATCTCTGAGTGACTCTCTCCTGTAACTCAGCTCAAATATTCACTATCTAAAATAGCCTCCTCCATTCTAGATCCTTTTCCTTGGCCATTACACTGCCTTATTTTCCTTATCGCTCTTACCACTTTCTGGATTATGTTGGCTACTCATTTATATACTATTTGTCTATTTCCCTCCGTTAAATGGAAGACCCATGAGAATAGAGACCTAGTTCTAATTTTAATTTTTTTTATTTCTGTGTCCCTAACATCTATTATTCCAGTTTTAATAGAAGTTCAATAAACGAGTACTTGTTAAATGAATGAATGAGTGAATGGACTTACAGACTGGCAGCTTCTGGCACGTCCAGAAATGTAGGCTTAGCATAAAAAAAAACCTGAATTTCAGATGAAGGAATCCCTTCTAATTCTTCCCTTCTGCTAATGGCCCCAAACTTTTCCCAGTTCAGCCTTCCCTCTCCATTTGTCTTTATATCTTGGCATGTTCCCTGTCTGGTTCTATATTTGGGTTTTGAAAACAGGTTTTGAACTGTTTCTGCTAGTCCTCACTGGGAAGCCTAGAATGATTCCCCCATAAGTACTTGTCCCTTTCTCTGCTGTACCTGCACCAACATCATGGGTAAGTTTTGCCAGGACCTTCCCAGCCTGCCCAAATTCACCGCGATAGGAGCCTGTCAGCTCCCTGCCCACCCACAGAGGAACGTGAACCTTGGCCTCTGTTCCCAGGGTTCTGCCTCCGCAGCCCAAGACAATGCGGAGGGCGGCTTCTGGGTGTGGGTGTGAGATCTGAAAGGGGCATTCAGCCCGCCCCTGAGTGCTCTGCCCATCAGGCCGGCCATGAGAAGTTTTACTTCTTAAACTTTGTGTCAAGTTAATATTTTATCTCTGGGAGGCTGGCAGAGAGAGGCTATTGTGCCTGAAGAGGTAACATTTATCTTTCAGCATTTTTCCCCCCAGTGAGAAGCAGTCTTTCGCTGTCCTTGAGAGCCCATCTCATTCCCCATGGAGTCCTCCCCTCTCTCACCGCACCCCACCCTACAGATGTCCTTTTCCTCCTGGTTCCTACGGGCCCTTCCAGATCCCTCCCTCCCTCCTTACAAATGTTAGAAGTTGGGGACTTTTAATTATTATTATTATTATTATTATTTTACTTCTAATAAAGAGTCTTATGAGATGGATGCCATTCATTTTCGACAGATAAGAAACAGGCTCACGGAGCTTACACCACTTCGCTTTGGGTCACCCCGCGAGCAGAACAAAGGGTTATCTGCTGCAGGCGTCCAGGGTCTGCACCTTTCCTTCCTCCTCGGCCCTATAAACAGGGCTGGTTCCCTGACCACGCACAGGGCGGGGTGCAGGGCCTGGGGGTGCCCCAAGGGGCACGGGGCCGGCGCCGTCCCCATCCTCCCGCCCGGGATAAAGGAATCCTCCCCAGATAGCGGACTGGGCGGAACAATAACCAACGTGTCCGCGGTGCACAGGCGGCTGACGGGCGGGCAGGGAAGCCCTCATCAGACCCCGAATCCAGAAAGGCGACGAGGCAGGAGGAGACAACTGCACGGCAGCTGCAGCCTGGGGGAGGGGAGGGCGGCGGCGGGCCTGCGGGTCGGACCCGCGCCACGTAGCGGCCCGGCCGGAGGGCCCTGGTCCCCCGCGCGGGCCCCGCCGGCGCCGCCCCGAGGAGCCGCGGGAGGGGACGAGCCTCCGGGGCGCATCGCCTGGACACGGCCCCACCGGGGCCGCCTGGGGGGGATCGGGATTCCGGAGGAGACGGGTCCGATCGGGCACCCTCCCCGTCAAGCCCGATCCCAGAGGCCCGGGACCCGGACCAGGTTCGCGGGGAGCTGCTGGGCCCGGAGGGGGATGGGGGTCCGGCCTCTCCCCGGGCCGCAGCGCAGCGCTGCGCTGGACACGGAACGGAACGGAGACACAAAGGCCTGCGCACGGCGAGGGGGACAGGCCGGGGCAGCCTCACCTCATGGTGCCGGGCTCCGCGGGGCGTCCAGGCGGGCGGCGGTGGCCTCGGCTTCTCCTTCCGCGGCACCGGGATGCTGCGCTGCCGGGCGGCGGGCGGGCGCGTGCCTGTGCGCGTGTCTGTGCGCGTGGGCGTGGGCGGCGGGCGCGCGCTCCCCGCCAGGCGTCCGCAGGGCTGGGTCCGGGGTCCGGGCGCGTTTGTCTTTGTTGCAGGCCGGGCCTGAGCGGGGAAAAGGCCACTGGGAAGGGAATCTGATCTCTGACGAGGCGGAGTCCAGGCCTAGGAAACAGAAACTTCTGGACGGGATGGCTGGGGCTGCCTCCTCCCGCAACGCCCCCTTCCCGCGGACCTAAGGGGGCGGCGGGGGGGGGGGGGGGGGCTTGGCGGAGCTCAGAGTCGTTTGGAGTGAAATTTGCAGCTGGGCCTCTGGACCTTGGTCTCCCTGAGTCCCCGTGCCACAAGATGGACCTTTTAAATATGTTAATTCTGATAAAGGGACAGATAGTTCAGTGCTATTTTTGTTGTAAGAGTGGCAGTGACACTCTGGACAGCCATTGTGCATCCTAAGCTGAAACGGAAGCAATACACAACATGGCAGTGATGTGCGCTCATCGGTGCCATTATTTCCATTGGGGTACATTTAGATAAACGTTGGGGTCAAAATGTATATGTATTCTAAATTTTGGTAGGTACTGCTGAATAGCTTTGTAGAGAAGTTTATGCACACACACACACACCCCTTACAATTGTATAGTGTTTGCCTTCTGTGCCCATGCCAACAATGCTTCCTAAGGTCCCAGTAAAGATGGGGGTGGTACTGCCAATCTAAGCAAAAAAAAAAAAAAAAGGCTAACTATCCACACATTAAAATCTTAATCTCCTTCAACTTCAAGCATTCATTCATTCATTCATTCATTCATTCAATACATTTTATCGGACAACTTCTAAGAACCACAGGTTGTTCAGGCACTATTGATAACAGCAATGGATTAAATATACAGAGGATCTATCCTTTATGGAGTTATTTTCTAGCGCATGAGATTAAGATAAAGAACAAATAAAACATTGTATATAAGATAGTTCTATGCAAAAAAGCATAGAAAGGATTGCAGTTCAGTGCATTTTTCTGTTGTAGAAGATTTCACAGAAAGTGGCGATGGAGCAAATGAGTGGATATGCAGCTAGGGAAGTGTGTGCCGGGCAGGGGACACCGCAAGCATAAAGGCCTGGCGGTAGGGGTATAGTTGGCTAGCCTGGATGATGTGATTGGAGTGAAGAGAACAGGGAAAAGGTCTAAGACATGATGAGATCAGAGAAGTAAAGTGTATAGTGGTGGCTTGTAGGCTATTGTAATATTTATGTTAACTGGGAAAACACATTTTAGAAGTTACTGAATGGTTTCAGCAGAAAAATAAACCTAGAATTTCCTTCTTACTAAGGATGCAGAAAAATTTAATAAAGCTCCAATGTTTGAAAATTTCCAGTGCCTTGATCATGCATTTTTCCTCCCTGTTCCTACTTCTTTCCCTTCCTTTCTCTCAGCTGTCTCCGGGCAAAGAGACAGTCTCTGCATATTAAGGTTTGAATGAATAATAAGCAACCACTAGTAAAAATCAAAGGAGAAAACCTCCTGGTTACCTACTTATATGTTTTAGAAATTCAAATTCAGAGAGACAAAAGCCATCTGTAAAAATGTTAAAGGAAAATACATTTTCAGGATTGAGAAGAAACAAAAGCCTGACTGTTGAGTGGGTGTTAAACATGCTGAAATTACTAGATGGAATTTTAATATCAATATTTTTTTTTCACAGACTGTTGGATTGGGTAGATTCTTAGGAAAAAAATCAATAGTATATTGCATTTTTAAATTAATTTCTTCTTATGAACATGTAGAGAACAGCAACTAGAGAAAAAAGGAAATGAAGAGCGAAACCTGGCAACTGATCTAAGATCTGCTTGGGAAAATGAAACTTAAGTAATAGATAAATACTCAAGTTTCAAAATAAACACTCATTTTCAATAACTCTTTCCAGGAGATGGATGTAAATCAGTTTCTTGGCCCTGGTACTATTGACCTTTGGGCTGGATAATTCTTTGTTGTAGGAAGCTATCTCGGGCATTGCAGGATGTTGACCCAGCATCTTTGTATATACCCACTAGATGTCAGTAAAACCCTGTAGTTGTGACAACCTAAACTGTCTACAGAAGTTGGCCAGATTCTTTTTGCCCTGAGGGGTAAAATTCTCCTTTTCTCTAGTATCTTTCCCCAACCTGACCTGAAAATCACTGCTTCAAGTAACGCCTATTTCTTAAAAATTAGTTTTCACAGTACAGCCTTCAAGAGATAAGAGGTGGACGTAGGAGAAGAAATGTTGAATTCAGATGAATCAGTGTTGGAATTCAGGAAGAGGCATGGGTGAAAGGATGGAGATGAAGGGGAATGCCAATGAAGGCATATTCCCTTGAGCACGGGACTCCAGCTGAGGTGTCTGTATCACATTTGGTCTGGCTGGGGACTCACACGGATGGTGGGTAATCGAAGCTGAGGCAAGATATGGCTAGAGGTCCTTAGTTCCAATGCAGTTTCACCTCTAGCAGCATCATGGGAACGGAGACATGGATGGCCAGGGCACCTGCCACAATAGTAAAACAAGTGATAGGGGCCCTAACCTAGGTTTTTGCTAATTGCTACCTACACTGTTGCAGCCTCCTGCTTCTTGGGGGTCATCTGGTCACCCTAGAAACTCAAAAGTTCTTTTCCTTTGTCTTGTCACTTCTCTGAAAATGTCTTGTTCTTTTGTTAAGATGCTACCTAAGCCCAAGATCTAACCACCTCTTGGAGTTACTTCTCACCAGTTACCACCCCCATGTGTATATAAGACGCATGTTTATAAAGTTTTGTTTGTTTTTCTTTTCTTATTCTTCTTAGTCTAATTTGTGGGCCCCAGTCAAGAACCCTAAGATGGGTTGAGGAAAAGAATTTTCCTTACATCACCATAGTATGTTTGGTATCTGGCACTGGAAACTATTTGTTGATCAAATGAACGAGTCATATTACTTTATGTAAGTGCTTAAATAAATGTTTTATTTGCTACAAATTTACTTAACAAACTGTTACTGTTGTTACATAACATTCACAGAGACATGGCTTATGTCTCTCTTCCTTTGTCACACACGCAAAGGCATAACTATTCTACTTCACTCTTTTTTGAATACAAAGTCACATTTTATCAGGCTTGGGTGATTGTGCAAAAGTTACACGTTTCTGAAAGCGGCAAGCAGAAAAGATGATTAACACACCATAACGTAAAATCAAAGGAAATGTCGAAGTGGTCCATATTTCAGCCTAAGGAGTGTGTCCCACAGGATTCTCAAAGTTAACAGCCAGCCTCAGGGCCCGCTCATAGTACTCCAGGGCTTTATTCATTTCTCCTTTCAATTTGTAGGTGAACCCAAGGATGCTCAAGCTTTCTATGTCTACCGCGTTTTTTTGAAGTTTCCTTAAAACCACTTTCTCCAAAGCACTGATACTTTTGTCTCTTATAAATGATGGCTTTTCTATTTTGATTGCTTTTAAGTAATAGATAATTGCATCGACTAAAGATTTCTTTTGAAATTCCTGAAATCGACCATAGCGAAAATACAACTCTTGCCTAGTTTCTTCTTCAAGTGATCTCACGCGGAGCAGTTTTTGATAAACATCTTCAGCTTTGCTATAGCTGCCTACCTGTACGTACATCTCTGCGAGGTGTAGATAAGCAATATCAAATGTTGGCTTTAGTTCCACAGCACGTTCAAAATGAGATATGGCTGATTTTGCTACCCTGTCATTATTTTCTCTATCTTGTCCTCTGGGCTGCCAGTTTGTAGCTGTGTTTATTTGGTAACTTTTTGCTCTGTAGCAGAGCCCCATCTGGTGATGCAGGAAGGCAGAGGAAGGTGTGGCCTGCAAAGCCATTCTTAAGAGCTGAAGAGCTTTATCTATAGCGCCTTTTTTCCGGTAAAACTTGGCCGCATATCGATAGACGTAAGTCTGCGAAGACATGTTGGCCAGTGCTTCTTCAATGTACTTTTCTCCCTCAGCTTCTTGTCCTATCTCCTGAAGTTTCACGGCGAGGAGAGCCTTAATATACGCATCTTCTGGATTTAGCCTGATGGCCCGTTTTAGGGGCTCCACACAAAATGCCTCCCCAACATATGATGTTTTGTTAATGCCATCCAGACGAAAGACAACAATTGCATACCCAGTGCTGTATTCAGGGTTGTCAGGGTCCACTTCCAGAGCCTTCTCAAAACAGGCTTTGGCCCGCTCATAATTCTTTCCTCCGAATTTCAGCAAGGCCCATCCTTCGGCACAGTCCATGTCAGGGCACTCGATTGTGTAGGAGGAGGAGCTGGCAGACTTTTTGCAAGTGTTCTCCACCTTGTCCAGGTAAATCTGGGCGTCCGTCAGTCTGTGCATGTGGTAATACAGCCAGGCATAGTTGCCCCAGGTAACCAGCTTTATCGCGTCCGACTGGTCAGCATGTTCTGCCTGCATCATGTCTTCAGCTTCTTTCAAGCTCTCTAAGGCTTCTTTATTGTGGCCATTCAGGTATTTCACATAGGCCAGGAGGTTGTGTATTCCCACGTTGAATTTTGTGTCTAGGAACTCAATTTCATCAAAGGCCCTGATTTCTAAATCAGACAGTTCAGTGTCTTCAATGAGCAAGTTCCACGTAAAGTGACATCTCAACTGTTTCAGCTTAGCTCGGACTTGATCTTCGTCAGCATTCACACTATGGAAATAAAAGCAGATTTTATTTGTTAGGTGAGAAACAGCCAATGGAAAGAAGCCAGGTAAGACACTTCACATGTATAACTTAGCCTTGCAAAGGACATACCTGCCTTACATTTTATTTATTTGTTTGTTTATTTATTTACTTTTAGAGTTCCTATACTGTTGACCCTTGAGCACCACAGGTTTGAACTGGCTGGGCCCAGTTACAGCCAGATTTGTTTCAATATAGTCAGCTTTTCCTATTAGGGGTTTCACGTACAGGCCGATTTCTAAATATAGTCACATTGGGGGTTAGGGCTTCAAACATGGATTGGGGGGTGAGGGCACAATTCAGTCCATAACAATTGTCAAATGATTTTTTGACACATGTGCCAAGACCATTTAATGGGGAAAGATCAGCGCTTCAACAAATGTGTTGGGAAAACTGATTATCCACATGCAGAAGAATGCAACTGAACCCTTCTTTTTTGTATGGGCTGTAAAACAAGCATGTCAAACTCGTGGCTGGTGGGCCACAGGTCTCATTTATTTAAATGGCCCGCCGGCAGAGAGTTTGACATGCTTGCTTTACAGCCTATACAAAAAAGAAAAAACAAAAAACAATTCAAAGGGGATCAAAGACCTAAATGTAAGACTTAAAACTATGACGATCCTAGAAAAAAAAAAAAAATAGAGAGAGAAAAAACTCCATGACATTGTATTTGGCAATGATTTCTTGGATAGGATACCAAAAGCACAGACAACAAAAGTAAAAATAGGTTAGTTGTATGTCATCAAAATTTAAAACTTTTGTGCATCAAGGGACATTCCCAATACTGTGAAAAGAAAACTCACAGAATGGGAAAATATATTTGCTAATCATGTATCTGATAAGGGATTAATAAGCAGATTATATACACAAGACTTACAATTCAACAACAAAAATAAACAGCTGATTAAAAAATGGGAAAAGGATTAGAGTAGGCAATTTCTCCAAAGAAGATAAACAAATGGCCAATAAACACACGAAAAGATGCTCAACATCAATCATTAGTGAAATGAAATCAAAAGCATAATGAGATACCACCTGACACCCATTAAGATTACTATTATATTTTTAAAAATCCAGAAAATAACAAGTGTTGGTGAGGATGTGGAGAAATTAGAACCCTTGTGCATAGTGGAAATGTAAAATGGGGCAGCTGCTGTGGGAAATGGTGATGATTGCTCAAAAAATTAAGCACATAGATCACCATATGATTCAGCAATTTCACTTCTGGGCATCTACTCAAAATAAGTGAAAACAGGAACTGGGACAGATATTTGCACATTTGTCTTCATAGCAGCATCACTCACAATAGCCAAAAGGTGGAAGCAAAGCAAGTGTCCATCAAGATATGAATGGATAAACAAAATGTGGTACATGCATACAATGGAATATTATTTCACCTTAAAAAGGAAAGACAGCCCTAGGTGGTTTGACTCAGGGGATAAAGCATCAACCTGGGACTGAAGGGTCCCAAATTCAAATGTAGTCAAGGGCACATGTCTGGGTTTCGGGCTTGATCCCCAGTGGGAGGCATGCAAGAGGCAGCCGATCAATCATTCTCTCTTATCATTTATGTTTCTATCTCTCTCTCCCTCTTCCTTCCTCTCTGAAATCAATAAAAACATATTTTAAAAAATGAAAAAGAAAAGGACAGACAGGGATGAGGGCAAGTGCTGGGGAGTAGAGGAGGCTGGGGGAGGCCGGGGGCGGAGGGGGGGAGTCATATGTACTACCATTTGTAATACCTTAAACAATAAAATAAAATAAAATAAAATAAAATAAAATAAAATAAAATAAAATAAAATAAAATAAAATAAAATAGGAAAGACATTCTGATACATGCTAAGTAACATGGAAGAATCTTGAAGACATTTTGCTAATTGAAATAAGCTGGTCACAAAAGACCACATATGATATGTTTTTATTTATAGGAAATATCCACAACAGGCAAGTCAATAGAGACAGAAAGCAGATTAATGGTTGTCAGGGCCTGGGGCAAAGGGTGAGTGGGGTGTGACTGCTTAATGGCTATGGAGTTTCCCCTCAGAGTGATGAAAATTTTCTTTTTTTTTAAAATGTATATTTTATTTATTTTTTTATAGAGAGGAAGTGAGAGGGATAGAGAGTTAGAAACATCAATCAGCTGCCTCCTGCACACCTCCTACTAGGGATGTGCCCGCAACCAAGGTACTTGCCCTTGACTGGAATCGAATCTGGGACCTTTCAGTCCACAGGCCGATGCTCTATCCACTGAGCCAAACCAGTTAGGGTGAAAATTCTCTCCTCTCTCTCCCTCTCCCCCCACCCCCTTTCTCTCTCTATATATATACACACACAAATACTATATATATAGTATTTGTATATATATTTATGTATAATTGATTAGGGAGAGAGAGAGAAACATCAATGATGAGAGAGAATCATTGATTGGCTGCCTCCTTATGCCCCCTAATGGGGATCAAGCCTTCATCCAAAGTATGTGCCCTTCACCAGAATTTAACCTGGGCCCCTTCAGTCCACAGGCCGACACTCTATCCACTGAGCCAAACCAGATAGGGCATGAAACTTTTCTTGAAGTAGATACTGGTGATACTTGCACAACATTACAAATGTATTAAACACCACAAAATTGTATACTCAAAATTAGTTAAAATGGTAGATTTTATCTTACATGTATTTTATTGCAATAACAAAACCATATCACTAACCTGAACAGAAATTCTTCAAATTATGTATGTATATTTTTCTAGTACATGTACATGTTAAAAAAAAACACCACCAGAGCATTAACATGTAAAAGCTAATTAGTAGGCTGTCTGAACTCATCTCACAAACCCCCATTGGTACCCTTTGAGAAACATTGGTTTAAAGATTAATAAGGTGTCATTGAATAGAGACTCTGATTCCTGTCTCAGTTCTATCACTTACTACCTGTGTGATCTCAACATTTTCAAATCCAAGATCCATTATTGAACCATCAGTATGGGTACCTGCCTCACGGTTTCTTTTGGAGTGAAATACAATAACTTACACAATCATTTTAGAAACCAGCTGGCATTTAATAAACATGTAGGAAGTGATGGCTACTTTTAAAGTCTAACAACAACAACAACAACAACCAGTGACAACCCACTCTTTCTGTGGACCAAAGGAGGGGTGGAAGATTGATCAGGGCCAGTAAATGTGCATTTTCTGGAACTTTTTGCCCCTTCAAAATTTTACCCATTGGAGCTCTGAGGGGAAATGTACAGATCGATATTGATTTATGTCTTCTTTCAATCTGCCGCTATCGGGGATTGTTTGAATCTAGATTCTCTTGGGACAATAAATAAATTCCCACGTTCGGCCCTTTACTGAAAGAAGACATGGGTGTTCCCCAGGGCAGAACTCCATCCATATCCCGGGGACAAGAGGCAATCAAGGCTTCCCCAGGAGGGAGGTAATCTGCTGATCTCAGATCCAGTTGAGATGAAGGAGCTCAGCAGGGCTGAGAGTGAGACCGGAAGCCTGCGGAGGAAGGCCTTGCTTCTAGGCAGGCAGCTGCTCTCGCCACATCCCACAGGATTTCCCTCCAGTCATCTGAGACCTCAGCACCGCAGCGCCCACAGCTGTGTGGGTCCTGCATTCCCTCCACGGGAGGGAGCCCGCTACAAGCAATCTCTCTATCCAGGCAAACTGTCCATCCCCTCCCTAAGGCAGACAGAGTGAGTTTGGCAAAAATTCGTTTCAGAGAATGAAATCATCTTCTTCCCTGTGGAATTCTCTTCCTGTTTCCCTCCTCTTCTTTGGGCTTTTTAACACGAGTAAGTTTCCCCAGGGCGATGCTAACAGAAATGAAAATGCCGGAATGAATAAAACCATGTATCTGTGTACGAACATACACACACACTCACACACCCAGTCCACAAGCAGATGCTCAAACAGAAGAGTGAGGAGACTCTGTCAGCACTGAAATTAAGTCTGTCGAGACAGTGATGATTAACATTTTCCCCAAAAACTTCAGGCAAAAAGGGAGAGAAGCAGAGAAATCCTTACCTCATGGTTGCTAAGAGTTCAGGCAGCAGTTTGCAGTGTTTTGGTTAGTTGGATGGGCTCCACGGAGATTGGAGATCAGACCAGCCTGCCTTGTAGGTTTGCAGGTAAGTTTCAGCCCAGGGCAGGGCTATTTAAGGGACATAAACAGCTGACTAATGAGGTAAACTGTGGGCGTGTTGTTGAAGAATAACTTGGAAACCAAGGAGGAAACTGAAACTGGATAGTGAAACTGAAGCAGAGTTCCTGCCAGTGAAAATGAAACTAAAACGGTAAGTGCTTCCCTTGTTTTGTTTTGGAAAGGGATTGAGGTGAAGGTGATGAAGAACAGAGTCAGTGATGTGTGAATTCCTCTCTGAGTCTTTACCTGGCCTTGCGGAAACCTGGCCGGCAGGAGATGCCAGTTGTGTCAAGTCCACTGAATCTGGAGCCAGGGACACCTATGACTATTGGCTGCGTGAACTTGTCAAAGACATGCCCCAGACCGCTGCCTGTTTGCTCATCTGAAAACAGAAATGGCTCATTTTATGGTATGCACTTCTGCAAATCTCTAAACTGGAGGTATATGTATATGTATATGTATATGTATATGTATATGTATATGTATATGTATATGTATATGTATATACCTATACTTCAGAGAGGAAGGAAAGAGAGAGAGAGAGAAACATGAAGGATGAGAGAGCATCATCTATGGATTGCACCCACCCTACTAGGGATGGAACCCACAACCCAGGCATGTGCCCTGACTGGGAATTGAACCATGACCTCCTGGTTGATAGGTTCAACCACTGAGTCACACCAGCTGGCTGGGATAAACTGGAGTCTTAACCAAACTTTGCTCCTATTTTCTGAGAGCTTGTCTTACGAATTATTCTATGCCTTTGCATACCCTTCTGGAGAATGGTCAGTGACTGTATGAGGCCTATAACATCTTCTTTAGACACAGGAACAGGGGAATTGTATATATTATGATCTTGAGACTTTAAAACAAATCAAATTAATGCTGACCTGGCCTGTTTTGTTCAGTGGTTAGAGTGTCAGCCTGTTGACTGAAGTGCCATGGGTTCAATTCCCTAGTACATGTACCTGGGTTGCAAGTTTGATTCCCTGCCCTGCAGCGTGTAGGAGGCAACTAATCAAGCTGTCTCCCTCATATCAGCGTTTCGCTCTCACTCTCGCTCTCTCTCCTCCTCTTCCTCCTCCTCCCACCCTTTCTTTCAAAAAAATCAATGGGAAAAATATCCGTCAGTGAGGATTAACAACAACAAAAATTTTGTTAATACTGAATGACAGGATTTTCTTATTTTAAATGCTCTCTATGGTAATTACCTAAAGTGTTCTTATTCACCAGACATTGATAGTCACACCTATGCAAGAGCATTGTCCAGTCCCTTGGTGCCCATGGCATTCAGGCTTGGTCTACCCCACCTGGCCCATGTCATCTTGTGTACTTGCACTGTGTCATGGAAAGAGGTGGAAGAAAATAGGGAGGCTGGGATCCTGGGTACAGATGAGTCTCCCATTACTGGTGTCTGCCAAGCACCTGTTTCTCCTGATTTTTCTTTGGAAATCTCTCCACTCTCCTGATACCTGGAGAAAAGTGGTGATTCCCTGGCAGATTGGCAAAGCAGTCTTATCTCTAACCACAGTTAATTTAACCATGGGGGGAGTGTTTACTGAGAGGAGACAATTAGACCAGCTTCACTGGAAAGCTGACACTGGGAAGTGTTGGGCCTGTAACATATATACTGATTGGTCAGATTATTATGATCTCTGAACGCATAATAATCAAGCCACTCAGTATATATATCAGAGGCCCGGTGCGTGAATTGTGTATGGGTGGGATATGGCCAGCCTGGCCAGGGGGAGGGGACGTGGGCATAAGCACATGCATGAATGATGCAAGACACAGGTATTAAAGAGAGAGAAAAAGACAAGGAAGAGTGTGTGTGTGTGTGTGTGTGTGTGTGTGTGTGTGTGTAATGAACAGTTAGAAAAGAAAACAAGAACTGGAGAAAAGGAAACTTTCAGAAAATGAATTTTCAGCATTGGGCTGATTCCATTCCCAGCAGTCTAGCTAGGATCCGCTCCCTGAATGACTGACCAATAATGACTAATAATGATAAGCCACTTCACCTCTATGAGCCTCACTTTTTATATCTGATAAATATAATAGCTGGCTTGGAATAGCTTATTGGATCCCAACCCCCTACTGCACAGTAGAATTATCTAGGGAGGTTTTAAGAGTATTGCTAGCCCTAACTGGTTTGGTTCAGTGGATAGTCAGCCTGTGGACAGAAAAATTTCAGGTTTGATCCCAGGCAGGGCCACATGCTGGGGTGGAAGGCTGGATCCCCGATGGAGGGCATGCAGGAGGCAGCAAATCAATGATTCTTTCTCAACATTGATGTTTCCATCTCTCTCTCCCCTCTCCCTTCCTCTCTGAAATCAATAAAAAATATATTTTTAAAAAGAGTAATGCTAACTAGGCCTCATCCCAGACATATTGATTCTGGGAAGGGGCCCCCAAGTTTTAATATTAAAGATAAATCCTCAGGTAATTTTGAAGTACACGAGGGTTGGAACTGGGCCTATGATGATCCCTGTTGTCTATTGTGTGATTGAAATTCCCTGACATTTTAAAAAAATATATTTTATTGACTTTTTTACAGAGAGGAAGGGAGAGAGAGAGAGAGCTAGAAACGTCGATGAGAGAGAAACACCAACCAGCTGCCTCCTGCACACCCCCTACTGGGGATGTGCCCGCAACCAACGTACATGCCCCTGACCGGAATCGAACCTGGGACCTTTCAGTCCGCAGACCTGGGACCTTTCAGTCTGCAGACCGACGCTCTACCACTGAGCCAAACCGGTTTCGGCAGAAATTCCCTGACATTTTAGAAAAGATACTGAACAGTTTACTCGGGGTGAAAAAAATAAATCCAGCCGAAACCGGTTTGGCTCAATGGATAGAGCGTTGGCTTGGGGACTGAAAGGTCCCAGGTTCGATTCCGGTCAAGGGCATGTACCTTGGTTGCGGGCATATCCCCAGTATTGGGTGTGCAAGAGGCAGCTGATCGATGACTCTCATCGATGTTTCTAACTCTCTCTCTCTCTCCCTTCCTCTCTGTACAAAATCAATAAAAAAATATATTAAAAAAAAAATAAATAAAATAAAATAAATCCAGATTTTCTCCTCACCAAAGATGTAGAAAAACTTAATAGAGCTCCAATGTTTGAAAACATTTCTAGTGCCTTTATTATGGTTTTTTTTTCCTTTTTCTTCCTTATTTCTACTTTTTTCCCTTCCTTTCTCTCATTTGTATCTGGTTCAAGAGATAGTTTTTGCTTATTAAAGTTTAAATGGATAACAAATAAGCAATCAATGATAAAATTAGAGGAAAAAACCCTCCTGGATATCTCTGTATATTGTTTAGAAACTCAAAGAAACAAAACCCCATAAAAATTTTTAAAGAAAAATAAATTTTCAAGATTGAGAAGAAAGATCTGGCTGTTGAGTGGGTGTTGAACATACAGAAATTATTAGGTGGAATTTGAATATCAAACTTTTTTTACAGACTGTTGGTTTGGGTGGATCCTTGGGAAAATCATTAGTGTATTGTTTTTTAATTTCTTCCTGTCAACATGAGAAAAAGGGAAATATAAAATGAAACATGACAACTGATTAAAATCTTCATGGGAAACTGAAACTTAAGTAATCAGTATGGCTCCTCAAGTTATTTCCAAGAACTATTCCAGGAGATGGCTGTAAATCAGAATTCCTTGCCCTTGGTACCATTGGCATTTGGGTTGGATAATTCTGCTGTAGGAACTTATTCCATGTATTGTAGTATATTCACCTAGCATCACTGTGTATATCCACTTGATAACAACAACACCCTTTAGTTGTGACAGTCAAAAGTGTCTTTCTGCCTGGCTGGCATGGCTCAGTGGTTGAGTGTCAACCTATGAACCAGGAGGTCATGGTTCCATTCCTGGTCAGGGTATATGCCCGGGTTGCAGACTCAATACTCACTCTCATCATTGATGTTTCTTTCTCTCTCCCTCTCTCTTCTGCTCTGAAATCAATAATAATAATATATTGGAAAAAAAGCAACAACAACAACAATAGTGTCTTTAGTCTGGCTGGGGTGGCTCAGTGGTTGAGCATTGACTTATAAACCAGGAGGTCAGGACTCAATTCCCAGTCAGGGCACATGCCTGGGTTGTAAGCTCCATCCCCAGAGGGGGCATGCAGGAGGCAGCTGATTAATGATTCTTTCTCATCATTGATGTTTCTCTTTCCCTTCCTCTCTCTGAAACCAATAAAAAATATATATATTTTTAAAAGTGTCTTTAGACTGGCCCAGCTCAGCCTGGGGCAGGCAGCCTGCAGATGTTAGTCAGGTGTCGCCCATCTTCTTGATGAGTTTCACCTCCTCACCTCAGAAGTGGTTCTCCAGGGAGTCATAGAACTGAAGGTCTGCATCTCCACAAGGGCCTGGTCAGGTTCCTCTCCAAGGCCAGGGTGGCTCCCATGGCAGCTCCCATGGCATCCTGAGTTTGCCCACTCACCGTGGGGAGGCTTCAGCACATCCTGGAAGAGAAGGCGGCCACCACAATGGTTTTGCATCTTTAGGATGCTCAGCATCCTCGTGCTTCTCCTCCGCCAACTCCTGTAAGAAGTGCCCCCGCTCTCCAGCGCCACATCGTCACCATCCAAGTAAAAGCCCAGAGAGAGGGTACTTAAAGTGTCCAGATACTTAAAATAACCAGTTGGACTGCACAAATGTGCCTCAGATAAAAGGTATTTATTGTACAGAGGAATGTTCAAGGTGCATTATCAGCTTGCAAGCAAATCTGTGGTGAGAAGGAAAAAAACAAACCAAGCAAACCTCCATGAGAACATGTTTCTGAAAAGGCTGCCATCTCCTCAGGAAGAGCCTCAGGTAGTTTTTTGGGGGAGGTATTCCAGAAGAACTTACCTGCTCTTGTCCGTGAAGAC